CGATAGGTAATTGATGATGTCTCCCTCGCTGCCGCCATTTGCATTTTGTTTCCTTTGCAGCATTATTGAATCACTAGACGGACAGAGAGTTCTAAGGACAGGTGGGTGCTACTTTACCAAATTTTCCTTTTGCTTCTTCTCTTTGCTGTTTTATGAGTTATGAAACAGTGTATGCTCAGGGGATTTCTTTTGTCAGGCTTAGCAAACTTTCTTTTTGGGGGGGGGGGGGCTGTAAAATATCAGGGCTATATAATGTCACTGTTAAAGCCACTGGGTAGGTCGGTGGGGGTTGTTTTCCTGGCTGTCTGCATGTTTTCCTCTATATGGTGCAAAAATATTAAATTGCATTTGTATCTTGCTTTTTCTCCTAGGAGTCCAAGACTTAGGCACCCCTCCCCCATTTCCATCTTTGAAACAACCCTTTGAGGTAGATTGTGCTAAATTAATACATGCCCATAAGCAGTCAATAGATTGCAGGGCCCCAATCCCCATAGAAACAAGTAGCCTCATGGCGGGTCAAGCCATCTGTCTGTTTAGCTCAGTACAGTGGTACCTCGGGTTTCATACGCTTCAGGTTACAGACTCCGCTAACCCAGAAATAGTACTTCGGGTTAAGAACTTTGCTTCAAGATGAGAACTGAAACTGCGCGGCAGCGACGTAACAGCAGCAGGAGTCCCCATTAGCTTCAGGTTAAGAACAGTTTCAGGTTAAGAACGGACCTCTGGAACGAATTAAGTACTTAACCAGAGGTACCACTGTACTGTCTACAGCAGAGCTTTCCAAACTTTTCATGTTGGTGACACACTTTTTGGACATGCATGATTTTGCGACACAGTAATTCAGTTTTATGGGGACGTGGGTGGTGCTGTGGGTAAAACCTCAGCACCTAGGACTTGCCAATCGAAAGGTCAGCGGTTCGAATCCCCACGGTGGGGTGCGCTCCCGTCGCTCGGTCCCAGCGCCTGCCAACCTAGCAGTTCGAAAGCACCCCCGGGTGCAAGTAGATAAATAGGGACCGCTTACCAGCGGGAAGGTAAATGGCGTTCCGTGTGCTGCGCTGGCTTGTCACGCTGGCCAGGTGACCCGGAAGTGTCTGCGGACAGCGCTGGCTCCCGGCCTATAGAGTGAGATGAGCGCACAACCCTAGAGTCTGGCAAGACTGGCCCGTACGGGCAGGGGTACCTTTACCTTTTACCTAATTCAGTTTTACTAGCAAACTGGAGATTAAACGAACCCCTTTCCAGCCCCAAGAGGAGTGTGGGGAGTGTTTGTGTGACACACCTACACACTGCAGCCGACACACTAACGTGTTGCGACACAGAGTTTGGAAAGGATTTCAGGGTTCTCTCCCAGCCATACTTGCAACTGACTGGAACTTTTTTAGCTTCTGCTCTCCACCAGCAGCAGGGAAGCAGCCTAAGACAATTCAGAAACATCTCTGCCATGAAGAAGCCACTTCATTCCTCCGTCTCTCCAAGTGAGGTAATATCTGCCCTCCTAATTTCTCTCTCTCTTCTCTGCTTCTGTCTTCCCATCTCTATCATTCCCCAAACAGATCAGCCACTCTGCCCCAGCAATATTTCCATTCCACCTTCTCTAACATAACTTAGCTCCACACACATCCATTTGATGTGCACCACCCTAACGCCTCATAATTGATATTAGGATCCCTCTTTTACTGCCTCATGGTTTTAACCCCAAACTTGCAAGTCCTCTCAAATGCTACCTGAACAGTCAAACCTCCTGAGTTTATTGTAGCAACCTGCACCTTAATCACTCCATCTCTATTTTTTAATAATAACTTGCAAATTATTTGATACTAGGCCTTGGTCTCTTGTCTACTTAATAATCCCCTTTGGTTTAAGTATAGTTTGCTGCAAATCTGAGCTCAATACTGCAAAAAGACACATGTTGGAAACGTGAGTTTGTGTACACAGGAATACACCTGTTAATTTTCTGCTTGTCATGCAGGTGTTAAGAAGCAAATACACTTTGCCAATCAGGTATGTGTTGAAGAAATTGTAATGTCACTGGCTCATTTATCCACATGTGGTGGTAATGACCCAAAGCTTTTTGGTTTGGGGAAAATGGTTTTTCATGAAGCAGGACTTACTACAAAACAAGCTACCCTCTTTGGCAAAATCTTTCCCACAGGGATATCATTACTTACCCAATGACTGCTGCATGGCTGACTACTGCAAGATATTGGAAGACTCTAAATGGAGACTTGTTTGAGAGCTGGATCTTACAACTCTGGAACTTAATTTCAATGGACAAACTGACAACCTATGTCCGAGAGAGTCAAACAAACAAGAAAAACACTACCTTTCAATCAAGTTGGCATAGTTTTATTACAAATGCAACATCGATAAAACATGGTTAAAGCCTCCTCCTGAAAACCAGGCAGCCACAGGAAACACTTTTATGAATCCATGTAAATTACATAGTTTACAGTATACTCATTTACGATTATGTGTACTTAGACCTGTGTGGGTAAAGTCCATTTACAATGCAGATAAGGAGGCACTAGAATTGTTACAGAAGCTGTTAGCATGTAAATCTTGTTTTAAATGGCTGGCCACCTGAACCACAAATTAAAAGCACTTGTAGAATCAAATAAGGCAGCTCTTTCATGCTGTTTGAAGTTGCAGGGCATATTTTGGGGGAAGTGGGAACAGGTATGGGCATATCCTTCTCAAGCAAAGGTCAGCAGCTACATGGGGGGAGGTTCCATCCTCTGAGTAAGGGAGGCTATGTCTTAGATACCTTGAGAGGAGCCAGGAGCCCCCTTTTAACCTCCCACACACTTCCTTCTAAGATACAGAGCCCAGCAACCAACCAAAGCAGCCTACTGTCCCCTTATTTGCTGAAAACCTACCTGCTAGGGTGAATGCTATGGGTAGATGGAAGAAAATGTCAACGAAATAAACAACACACACATGTCACTGAGCATATTTTGCACCCCCATGGAGAGCTGGCATGAAGCTCATCCGGATTGGAGATGATGAAAATCAGAGCATACAGGGTTGAGTGGGCCAGACTAAGTGAGCTACTATTCCCTTACGCTGGGAAAGTGCATGCCAGGGCAATACACTATTATAACCAACAGGTCACAGAAGGAATGCTTAAAGGAAATTAAGCTACCATATGTTGTCTATGGGGTTAGTCTGATCAATATAGAATATGGCTCTGCATACATTGAGGGAATGCTACTCCATCTGTAGGGGCACTGACCATCATGGACAGAACAAAAGTAGAATCACCTTCGAAGCTTTAGAGTCAGCTGTGTTGACCTTGGGTATGGTCAGAGTACTACCTTGTCCTAGCAGAATATGGGCAGCTCCTTTTCTATAGAAGTCCTTGCCCTTCATTCCTCCCCCAATACACATTTGAGAGTGGCCACTTTCCCTGCTGCTATGGGGGGGATTGTTTGCTTTTTCCTTCAGAAGTGCATTTTTGCATAGCATCACTTCTGTACATAGCAATACTTGAATGTAAAAACTAATATGGCATTGATGAAACTGTCAAGACTGCCCCATAGCCCTCAGTTTCACTGGAGAGGAGCAGGTGGTGTAAGTGCAGAATGATAATGGGCAGGCCAGAAGGATATCTAGAAATGCATCTGAGTCTAGGTGCTGAACAATGAGGGCCAGCATCCTGGATAGACAGGATGGGGAGTGTCTTCTATACTGCTAGAAGTATGTGCGATGACTTTCAAAGCTGGTGAACAATGGACATGTGTGCTAACAAAAGGGAATACTTTCCTTGTTATTAAAGTGCTTGAGAATGCATGGGTGATTTGGGCCTGGCAGTGGAAACTGGAAACGAAGCAGAAATAAATTAAAAATAGCCTGCTTGCTTCATCAGTATTCAGTGCTCAGCATATGGGCTGGATGCAAATAGTCCATTCATCTTAAACAAATTAATTAGGCTGCAAAGCTGCTCACATTTCACCAAGAACACTTTTATTAAACATGAAAGATGCCAGGGTGGTAAGAAAAGAAAAGGCCAGGAAAAACCTATGCTGTGTTTTAAATTCGTCTTTGCAACAGGGCTAAAGCAAGACATTTAAATGTCCCACCACTGCAGAGTTCCCTTTTAATTTGTCCTGCTTCCCTTTATTTCACGAAAAAGCAGAAGTGAAATTTAAAGCTGCTTGCATGGTTTATGAGCACGTTTAAGGATTTCCTGATACCATCAGTTATCAGCTCAGCTAAAAATAGTTTGCAAGAGCTTTGCGATCTCTGATAGCCTAGTCTCTCTCTTTTCCCCTGTCTCGTAGCTCTATTCCACATATAGGTTGTGGGGAGGATGTAGCCCTCCATATATTGCTGGGCTCCAGCTCCCATCAGCCAGCGGTGATGGGATTTGTAGCCCAGCAACACCCGGAATGTCACAGCTTCCCCGTCCCTGATTTGGGTCTCGTTCCCACGTAAGCTAAGCGTGCCATCAAGTGCAGCTATGTGCTACAGTTGGATTGCTGCGCCTGAGGCTGCAACAGCCGGCACACTTAGCTTGGGCGTGAGATTCCCTCAGCATCGCTGAGACTTGCTTCTGAGTAGACCAGAGAGGCTTGCCCTCTGGCCCCGCGAACCAAGCGCCAGCCCCATCGAGTTCAACAGGAACCTTCGACGCAGCGCGCCTTTCCTCGGTGCAGCCCCGCACAGGATCCGCTTCCTCGTTCAGGCTCGCAGCCTCCCCCAATGCAACGGCGGTGCAACCAGGAGCGGATCCCCCACCCCGGAAGAGCGTCCCTTCCCTCCCAAATTGGCCGCGCGCTCCAGAAAAGGGGGTGGGGGTGGGAGAGACGCTCCGCTTGCCCGCCTCACCCAGTCCGGACGGGGGCGGGCGGAGAATGTCAGCTCGAACAACTTCCTACTGGGCTCCCGGCGGCAGGCAGTAAAAAAAAAAAAAAAAGCAAAAGCAAAAGCGACCTTTTCAACTGCTGCCAACGTCGCCGGCCGATTCCTGCCCCCTGGCAGCGTGGAGGAAGCGATGAATGGCCAGAAAGGGGAGGTGGCTGACGCGCTGCACTCCCCGGGCCGCCGCCGCCGCCGCCTGTCCTGCCTGTGCATCTCGCTCCACCCCGTCGCCGCCGCCGCTACGGCCGCGCACTTTCCTCCCCGGAGCCCGCGCTGCCGCCGCCGCCGCCACAGCCCTCGCGGAGGAAAAGAGGCACCGGGACGCCGCCGCCCGGGGCAAGGCGCGGGGCCGAGACGGCTGCGCGAGGAACCTGGACGGCGCTCCTCCTCCTCCTCCCTCTCCATCCCCCGCCTTTCTCCTTCTCCTTTCTGTTTTGGCGGGCGGGCGGGCGGGAGTCTCCCTGCCATGACTGCGCCGAGGGAGCCTGAGCGAACATGAGCCGCCGCGGCGAGGGCGAATTCCTGAACTGCCGCCTTTCTCCCGCCGCCGCCGCCGCCGCCGCGACCATGAGGAGGCTGGCGCTGCTCGCGTTGCCTCTCTTGCTGTGCCTGGGCGAGGTAAGGCGCGGACGGTTGGGAGGACTGCCACCCCCACCCCACCCAACCCAGGCTTTCCCTCGCGTCCACCTACATGCCTGGGGATCTACATGTCTCGGTCGGCGAACCTGCTTCCCCTGAGTAAACCCATCCATCTTTCGTCTTCCTACCTGTCTCTCTCCCCCCCCCCCCTTCCCTTACAAGTCCCTCCTTGGCTTAAGCTAGGGCAGCCTTATACATCGTGGGTAGGGGAGCCTGTAGCTCTCCAGACGCTGCTGGACTCCAACTCCCAGCATCCCCGATCGTGGGTTATGCTGCTCGGGGCTGATGGGACTTGGAGTCCAGCAAACAGCCGGAGTGGCCACCAGCTTCCCCATCGCTGCTATAAATGCTTGGTTTTGTTTTAGGGGACCCGTCCCCCACCCCCGTTCAGGATAACGGGACGTCTGAGGAGAGACATATAGGATTGGGGCCGAAGTCTAGAAGAAACTGCTCTGGTCCTTTTAAAACAAACGGCAACAGAGCATGACCCTCTCTGGTTCCTAGTCACTTCTGGTGTGTGTTTGTTTTGAACCCTGAATTCCTGCAAGCCACTGTGCATCACTAGACTCATTAGAAGTCAATGGGTTTAGCCAACTATGCGCTGTTGCAAATTGGCTGCTGAGGAAGTGTCCACACATGACTCTGAATGTGCCTGTGTACGTGTGGATATATTTGCGAGAGAATCATGAAAGAAAGCTTTTGATGTACATTCTGTCTAGCCGATGCAGTTTTTCTATTTTCACTACAGATATAGGGAACTGTTGACTAGTGATTACATGGCATAGCAATCATATGTATGCCTACTAAGGAGGAAGCAGCATTGAACTTAGTAGGACTTTGAACACACATGTTGTGTGTTTTGAAGTGATCTCTGATCATGCCTGTAAAATCACTAATCCAGATAATCTAACATTTGATACACCTCAGCTGCTTGTATTTAGACCCAGCATTTAAAACAGTAGCCAACCTTAATAATGCATGTTGGAGCACCTGCTCAAAATCACATAACTTGCACTCATTTCCCTTTAAATGACTTGCTGTGCTCTCAAATTAGCATGGTTAAAGAATGATAAAAGTAAAAAACTTTCCCCACCCCCTACATATCCTTTAAATCTAAGTTTTTGGAAGAAACCACGATGTTAATCTATAATTAGGAAATGAGGGGGTGGTAGCTATTCTGGATGCCAACACAGAGTATAATTGTGTAATATTGGGTGATAGCATGGAATGGTGATCTTAATTCATGCTAGTTGCTATGGCTACAGAAATGGAAAGTTGTGTTTGGTCAGGATAATTGATCTGGAAAGAGATTATTGCCTATTGCCCATTAACTAATCTTGCAAATGCACCTATTAATGGTTTCAAAACTACGGTACATGTTCTATACTAAATCCATCTAAGCGGCGGAAAACCCAATTGGGGCAAGGGCCGCTAGATGAGAGTACTGACAGGTTGCAAGATGTGTATGAACACCTGTGTTGCTACTGTACTTGAGGCATTTGCTGACGAAGACGCAGGTATGACCCCAGGGTTTCCTACAGCCATTGTGACATGTAGTTCTGCCCTACCGTGGATATGATGGAATGCAGATAAGGAGCGCTATCGTAAAGAAGATCAAAGTGCAGTGCGTAGCGATGATTTTAATAGGCGATTGCATTCTTTGCTGTAACATACAGTATATTGGTTATGTAGCTTAATTGTATTGGCTAGCCTAGTCTATTGCCACTGCTGTTGTCATCGTCCATTTTCCCCAAAGAACTCTGAACATGCTGCAAGCCAAAAAAAACAATCACTTTCCTTACAGCAGTGGAAAGAGAAGTCCATTTTATTTCTTGCTCTCTCTCTCTCTCTCTTTCCCTTGTACACAACTTTCCCGTCATCATTGCTATTGGTAGATGATATACCTTTTGAAGCAAAAGAGATGGTTGGGTCAGAGTTTACTGATTGCATTAAAAGTTGGGGTGAAAAGCAATATCATCTAATCTAACTTGGTCTGAATGTTGGTATTTCTGGGAGTCTTAATATGAGAAAAGAATCAACTTTCAGAGAACAGATGTGTAGTGTATGCACACATGTGGTGGTCCTGGTTAAGATATGGGAGAACAGACACCCCAAAGATGGAAGAATCCAAAATACATTAGGAATGGTTTTGTAGGAGAAAACTACTGCAAAGATTGGACAGGGTCACCCCATGTCTGAAACAAAAAGGCTTCTGATCTGCTGCATAATGGTATAGTTGTGGCAGTCCCTTAATGAAGTTCTCAGATGTTCCCTAGAGTTGTGAGACCTGAACAACTTTATTGCCTAATTTGGGATAAGGTAATTAAAGTTGTAGGAGGTATTTGAAAGAAATAACTGCAGTTAGACCATTGAACTGCAGGCTGATGTCAGTAGTGTCTTGGGGCCTCCTCTAATGTCGCTTTCTAAGATCATGGGTGAATGCACTTTAATGCATATAGGTATAATGTTGAAAGGGCTCGCTTCTTGCATATTAACATTTCCTCAGTATTTTATTTATGTGGTTTTGGGCGTCTTCAGAAACCAGTTGACATTTCCTCTTGAGTAACCTTCAAAGGACCACATGCCAGTAATGGGTGGGTCCAAAGGTAAAAATCTACAGACCAGCACATGTAAATTTTGACTTCATGCAACTAGTTTCCACACACTTGTGCCCCTTTCTATCCTCCACCTAAACAAGCAAGAGGCATTATCAGAGTTCAAGTATACATTCCAGCCAGCAAAAACACTGGCAGGACTAGTAAGGGATGTGGACTGGAGAGACGGGGTGGGAAGAATTCCAAGGGCCAGGTAAGAGAGGTCTGGAGGGCCATATTTGCCTCCCTACCAGAAAAACACCCCAGGGCCTCCAGTTCCCCAGCTCAGGTATGTCGCCTATATATAATAATCTTTCAAATATGTCAAGCCACAAAAGTGAAAACTTTAGTAGTCCTCTTTCGATGGTGTGATTTTAAGTAAAGTGAACACATGAGGACGAATAATGGAGATGAGGACAAAATTCTTGGGGAGCCTTCACAAGTACAGGAGGCTGCCTGCTTCACACTTTCACTGACCAACTCTTAGAGAGTTACAGGAGAAGAGAGGAGTGGGGCCCCCATCTGAATTGCCCTCCCAGAACCAGAACCCCATAATGAGCATCTTTGCCACTTGGGGTCCAGGTGGCCTTGATGGCTAGGAGTGCCTTGTATCAGCATCGGCTACAGCCGTTCCTGGATAAGGGTAACTTTACTATGGCAGTCTGTACATTTGTAATTTCAGGACTGGTTTATTGCAATGCTAGGCTGTGGTGATGTCCAACATTTCCAGCTACTGCAGAATGCTGTAGCTAGAGTGGTGATGGGAACAGTATGGCCAACAATAACACTGGTGTTAAAAGACCTGCACTGGTTTCCCATCTGCTGCAGGGCCAGAGTCATAGTTTTTGTACTAGTGTACAAAGACCTGAACAACTAAGGACCAGGATATCTTAAGGACTGCCTTCCCCCACCTGAATACTGAGATCAAATGGGTGAGCACTATTAGCGGTTCCCTACAGACCAAAAGGATGGCTCCAGTCAACAAGCAGTTGTGCCTTCAGTGTAGTGGGCCCTACACTATGACCTCCGTCCCGTTAGAAAACAGGCACACAACATCGCTGCTAAGTTTCAGCTGTCTGGTTAAAACTCTTTTTATTTCAGGAGGCCTTTGCACCATGAATGCTGTTCTGATGTTTTGCTTTTTTATGTTGTTTATTTTTATTCTCTGTAAAATGCTTTAAGACCCGTATGGGGGACGGGGACGGGGGACAAAATGTAATTTTTAGGAATAAGATGGCTAAATTTGAGAATCTGAATTAACACAGCTTTAAAATAATGGATAAATGTTTCTCGACATGTAACCTGCCAGCCTGCCGAGCCTCAGCGGCTGAGCATCAGAGGTCCCTGTTCAATCCCTGACATCTCCAGGTAGGTCTGGGAGAGTGAAAACCCTGGACAGCTGCCCCTAGTGAATGGATACAATACTGCGCTAGATGAGCCAATGGTCAGATTGAGTTTCCTATGTTCTCTCTGCTTCTACAGCCTTTGGGGCTGTCCCTGGTGGTAGCAAGGGTTTAGTTCCACTTACCAAGGTTTACTTTTCAGATTAGGGCATTTTTGTTGTCAACAGCAAGACGAATGTGGGAGTGGCCCTGTGGCAGTGACTCAGAGCATGGGATTGATCGCCCTGACATTTTAGTTGAAGCCCTGTGCCTCCATTGACTACAGTGGCTTTACTTGCAGATTATTCACCCTTGCAGCATGTTTAAAGAGTCGCAGATTTGTTCTGGCATATACTTTTATGGACTGGTTCCCACCTCTTCAAACTACTGATATGTCCCAAAGCTCCTTCCCACCACTTATTCTTTCTGACGTCTGCTTAATGATAATGCACATAAGCTCTTCGTTCCTTGGTGAACTTGCATTCCTTTCCCAGAAGCTGTTTCTGTGACCAAAGTTTGAGGAAGACGGTCACAGTTCCGCTATAATAAGCTTAAGTTGTGTTGCTGCTAGTTAATTAGTTACAAATGCTCTTATCACAGTCAGCATTTAATCTCTCTTACTTCCCTAATGCTGGGAGAAGCATATCTGGAGTTCTTGTGTCTACTTTACACTGAAGAATGGAGAGGGAAGGGGAGTGGCAAGTGCAAAAGAGGGAGGACTCTTAGAGGGCAATTCTCTCTATTCCTGCAGCATCTTTCCATTCGCTTCTCCCTTTATTTGCCCCAAGGCAGTTTGCTAAAAAGCTTCAGTGTGAATTATTTCATTACAAAGCATCTCTGTTCAAAGCAAATATTTTGTTATTGTGAGTCCAGTTTGCTGCTTCTTCTCTCTTTGCCCCCAGCCCCCTGACTGAGCATCTGTCTTTAGTTTATGCGTTTACATTTTTTACACTTTATACATCTAGTTAATTTCTATCTCTCTCCCTCTCTGCCCCCAGGCCCCCTTTTCCATTTCTCATGAAAAGGGTGCTTTAGAATATGGGCTTGGAAACTTTTGTTTTAAAGGAGGTCAGCAGGGCAGGGGAAATACTCAAGATTCCGAGGCATCAACATCAATTTTTTAGGCATCAGTTCAGTGTAGGGCTGAGAAATACTTCAAATTCCTAAATGCCACCATGGGCTTGTTAGTATCCAAGCAACCAATTTGATCAGCCCTTGTGATTTCTGTTTACCTATGGCATTTATTGGCTTACCTTTGTTAAGTCATCATGTGAGTATAAGTGCTGCTGTAGCATAGTGGTCAAGGATGCAATATTACACCAGAGTTATGCAGGCCGAGGGGCTGGTGAAACACCAGTGGCACAACTGCTAACATCAGTGCAAGTGAGTAGCCACCATCACTTGTCCTCTCTGGGAGGAAGAACTGGAGTGCAGTAGTGGGGTCTACTGGAGGGTATCTTGCTGAGCCCCCACCCCCACAAAAGCAAAGACAGATAGGGATGCAATAATCTTCATTGGAGCAGTGCTTCCACCTGTAGAGGAATCCATCGTGTGGATGTAAAATCTCACACATGTCCAGAGAATAGTCCTATCCTTTCAATGCAGCATAGTGTCTGTGATCATCCTATAAAGCTCTGGCAGAGGTTTCGTTTGCTTGCAAATGCTTCTGCTCCTCTGGTTGCTGCTACACTGAATCTGTGAAGAGCATCCTCTCTTTTGTTCATTGCAGAGTTAATAAATCATAGAGTCAGTTGCAGCCAAATTTGTTCTCTGAAGCCAGACCAATTCAGAATGTAGACATTTCCCAACATGCGTAAGTATTCAGCCTAGGAAAGTACCCTCTAAATATCTGTTTCCAAATCTCTGGTAGACAAAGGTGCATGAGTCGTAAAAGTGTAGAATTGCAAGTAATGATCAGAGAATGCATACATAAATTAAGCTTGGAGTATGGAAGTATCAGCGAAATATAATGTATAGCCAGTGCTCAGCTATATCACATGTAGTTTTACAAAGGGGGTGGAAAGGGGGTGGATTTAAGGGCTAGCAATCTGAGAATAAATCAAGGTGATATCTATGAAGCAGACAAACTCTAAATCAAATACAAAATAAAGTCAATACAGTCTTTATTTTTAGTGGACGGCAGATATGTAATCAACAGACACCACTACAATAATTCATTCTCTATCTCCATCTCTCTCTCGTGCACTTCAAATGAATAAATGAAGTTGCTATCCCATATCAGTCATTCCCTTCCCTTCTGCAATTAATGTTGTGTGAATAGTGAGATGATTCTACGATGCAAATGGTCCTGCCCATCCCATATGACCCTGTTGCTGCAACCTACCTCCCTACCCAATGTATTGGGGGCTGAACTTTTGCAGCAGAAAGGCGGTTCAACTCAAACAAGTTCCCTGCATGATTTAACAGTCTAATCTTCCTGGGTCTTAAATAAAACAAGGCACTTCCTTCAGCTGGGAAGGTTCCCTGGCTCCCAGCACCATGAGAGACTGAAGGAATGGTGATGGGTTATGCATGGGAGGGGCAGGGTCACTCTCCCTCTCATGCAATGGAAACTTGTGTTTGCGTGTGCAGAGAACAACTGAATAGGGCTATTCTCTTGGCCTGAAAGTATTCGTTTGGGACAGCTGCTCCCGGTTCTTCCAAGGCAATGGGGAAAATGACAAATAGCTGCATTACCTGCAGTGAGAGAAGGCATATCAACAATGTCACGCTGAAATTTAATCTCTCAGGATTAGCCACAACTTTTTAAATGAGAGAGAGAGATGGAAATTCTGTGTACAGTTAAGAGCTCATCCCTCAGTGAACCTTCATACCTGGAGCTTACTGTTGAGAATTTTCATGCCATGTAAATTATCTTTTGTTAGAGAAACGTGAGATTTGAAAGCATGTGGGTGTGTTGGTACATAATATAATTTTCTGATTACACAATGAGGATGGATATTCCTAATTACTGCTACTAATTACAGGCTCGCTGCTGGAGAATATGAAAGTTGGCTAGCTTCGCAATATAGCAACCAAGCGCTTCCTTTTTCCAAAAATAGAGCCTCTTGCATATGGCAAGCTTAAGACTCATCTCTGCTCTACATTCTTTTTCCGCTACTCAGTTGAGATCTGCTAATTGGCTTCTATTCACTTAAAAGTAAGAGACCACTATTAGCTGCCTGCTCCTGCAAAACTTTAAAACAAAAGACAAAAACCAGAGGTTGCTAAGTGTCAGAAGACTCGTTTGGCTAGCTTTAAAACCAGCTCAAGTGGCAATCCGCACCTATAATATAAAATAAGACTACAAAGAGAGATGCAGTACTGTAAAAAGAAAGCAGCGAGAATATGCCTCGGTTCAGGTGACAATATGAATAGTCCTGACAGGCTTTGGCCGGATCCAGCAGAGATCTTTTTTCTGTTCTGTTCCATTTCTGCGTGTGGCTTCTGCATATGGCAAGTCCTGTTTCTTGCGCCTAGCTCTAGCTAGCAATGTGAATTAGCCCCTTTATAGAAAATTAAACCTCAAGACAATTTTTCGTCCTGTCTTGCTTTTTCTCACATTTGCTCAGATCACCACTTTTAGCTTCACAGGGACTTGGTCAGTCGGTCAAGGTTGAAAGATAGCAATTTGCCCAAGCGCTCCTGTCCTCCCTTGGCGTAAACAAAGTGGTGGGAATTTGAACCTGGTTCCAAATTGCCATAACCAAAGCTCTTTGCCAGACAACTGCTGTGTATAGTCAATCTTCCAAACAGTCTCTTTGTTTCGCCACAGTGATGGTGAATGTATGCAAACACTTTGTTAAAATAGCAACAGATTTCATTTACATCTTTTAGGAATTCATTATGGGAATGAATTGATGGAAATTAATCAGAACCTCATTTTTGACCCTATATGTCAGGGGAATCTGGCCCAATCGTCTTCTCAATCTGGCCCACAGACAGTCCAGGAATCAGCGTGTTTTTACCTGAGTAGAATGTGTCCTTTTATTTAAAATGCATCTCTGGGTTATTTGTGGGGCCTGCCTGGTGTTTTTACATGAGTAGAATGTGTGCTTTTATTTAAAATGCATCTCTGGGTTATTTGTGGGGCATAGGAATTCGTTCATCCCCCCCTCCCAAAATATAGTCCGGTCCCCCACAAGGTCTGAGGGACAGTGGACCGGCCCCCTGCAGAAAAAGTTTGCTGACCCCTCCTATATGTAGCCAGGAAGGGCATATTTTTCACCTGAACAATTCCACACACAAACGCAAACTGTCTCTCCATAAACATGAAAAGCAGCAATTGCTCAGCTGGCAGCAGTTACTTGGCATATGTTGAAGGATGATGCCAAGAGTATGTGCCATTGCTTAACTGTTCATGTAGCTGGCTTCAGCTAGGTTGCTTGGTTTTGTCCTTTTATGGGGTTGAGATTTGCATATGCTCATTCTCTGTGTGATAGGCCATATCAGATAGGGGATTGGGGCATGGTACTTAGGCTAGATCATGCACTAGATCATGATCATGGCTAGATCATGCACAAGGATTGCACAGTCATTATGGGACAGGTGGGATGTTTGGATTGAGACCTATGGGCATCAAGTAGGCATAAATTTGAGAATGGATGCTTGCAACCTTTAGATGCATGGAAAGAAAAGACTAGGGAGGGTTAGACTGAAGAGGCTGTCTGAAATGTGGTGAAGTAATAGGGATGGAGTTTTGCGGCAGATTGAGGTACCAAAACCATGACTTTGCAAATAATTGTTCCAGAAAGTTTATCTTCTTAAACACAAACTTAATTTATTTACCAACAGCTATTGTTGTAACTTAAATGAAATAATTCATTGTTAAAATTAAGCCTCCTTACTAATCTTGCTTTTAGTGTTTCCTAAAAGTTCCAATTAAAAAAACCACAGATATGCATGTGTACAAGGCAGGGAGACCCAGAGATATGCATGTACATGTCGTGCCAGGAAGAGAAAATTGCCTTTTTCTGCAAACCACGCCCATCTGCCCCACACCTGATGTCATATGTGATGTCAGGTGTATAGCAGATAATGATGTGAATACAAAAGTACAGTTCTAATCTTAAACTGTTAAGCTTGCTGTCAGTGCTGGCTGGTGCTCACATCAAGCCTCAGGATCAGCTTGACTGTGGAGTTCCTCTAGTGCAGGTGATTCCTACCTAAAGTTGGGCTTGATGTAGCTGCCATTGGGCTTCATGTAGTCAGCTGATTGACACTGTCAGGAAGCCCCACAGGGAGGTCAAGCTGGGTTGCAAAGAAGGAAAGGAAAGAATGGTGAACATAGTTAATATGTGCTCCCAATTCTTTCCTTTTGAGGTTGGGTTACCTGATGATACGGTGATGTCAGGTAATCCGTCTACGTGGAGTAGAAAGCTTGATCCTGTTCCCCATTGCTGACTTAAGATGAGTCCAGCTAGATCAGCCTTTCCAGTCCAGCTTTCTTTTCCCACAGTGGCCAACCAGGTGAAAAGCCTGCAAGCAAGACATGAATGCTACAGCTTTCTCCCTACTTGTAGTCCCCAGCCACTGATATTCAGGGGCCTTATGGCTCTGCTCATGAAGATAGCACATAGCTATCAATAACCAGTAGCCACTGATAGCCTTTTCCTCCATTAATTTGCCTAACCCTCTATTGAAGCTGTCCAAGTTTCTGGTCATCTCCATATCTTGTGGATGTGAATTTCATACCTTAACTATGCACCTTGTGAATAAATATATATTTGTCCCGAATCTCCCTCCGTTCAGCTTCATTAGAAGTCCCTCTCTTCTAGTATTATGAGTGAGGGAGAAGTGTCTGCATCACAACAGTTTATTGCGTATTTAAGAAACAGGCTACCTTACTCATATGTTCCAGGTCATAAGCTTGCGTGTATTCTACCACATATAAGAATGCCTGGCAGATAAAAATGTACGTATGCTAAGTATGTATGCCATACTTGTTGTAAATCAGTCAACCAAGTAGAAAACCGTACCACCCAGAAAATTCTTTGCTTATATTTACTCTCCTGCAGTCTAGCTTTAAACAAGGAAATTGACACAAGGAAATTGTGAAGTACTAATGAACTGACCTCTGGTTACAGATGCTTCAGGTTACAGACTCCGCTAACCCAGAAACAGTACCTCGGGTTAAGAACTTTGCTTCAGGATGAGAACAGAAATCACACAGTGGTGGCGCGGCAGCCCCCATTAGCTAAAGTGGTACCTCAGGTTAAGAACAGTTTCAGGTTAAGAACGGACCTCCGGAACAAATTAAGTTCTTAACCCGAGGTAAGGTCTGAACTCATAAGGCTGTGATCCAAAATTTCACTTTAGCCATGAACTCAAGCCACTCCTATTCCTTCAATCCTCAGTCAACATTTGCAGTACAGGAGCAATAATACTGAACTACCTTGCAAAGCTGTCATTGCCAGATCTACAAATTTTGCTCTGGAGGGCAAAGGTTCTGCCCTGCAGCCTCTCCCTGCCCCCTGTCTCTCTGAGAGCAGCAGTGCTGGGTTAAGGGAACAAAGAGGAGCAAGTCTTTATCCCCTTTGTGCCCCATTCAGTCTTCCATAGAATGTCCCACCTTTTTGCCCGCTCCAGGAAAAGGAATGTGAGGAGGAGTGTCAATGGAGGACAAAGGGGAAAAACTTTTTCACCATTGACTGTTGTCATTGTCCTGCCACTGGGCTGGCCACTGCAGCTTCACACTTTCCTCTCCTTGGGGTGGATAAGGAGGAGGCCTTTTCTTGGCCACTGTAGATGGGCCATAGCCAACCACACCTCATCTATTGTCAGGGCCTGACTTCACCTTTGCATTCCTGCTGGTTACGCTCCTAGTGTCCACCCACCTCTTTGAATATGTGGGATCTGGCCAGAACATAAGGGCTGTGATGTGGCTGCAGTGTGCCTCTGTCCCATGCAGGATGCTGTTCTGCTGCCTGGGGCACGTATCCCCTCTTGCCCCCAGGCCTAAAAGTTAATCTGCAAATTAACCTACTAATATTAGAGGTGGTGGATAGAATGCATATGAGGTGCTTTGAATGCTCAGAAAGCACTTTATATATTGAATTGTGTACTTAGGCCCTGCTTTCCATCCAGAATTGACTCACAAAGTTGTTTACAACAATTGAAAACCATCACGAAGAGGCGCTCAAAAATGTTAGCCATAAATTGTTCGTATGAGAGGATATTATATAAGAGCTACCCCCACAAAAAACTGAATATCCATCTCTGCAAAATGACTATTAATATTATATAGATGACAGTACATAATATGAGTGTAAATACTGACACGATCTACCACCCCAGATATTAACAGATTAATATACTTTCTGGGAGAACCCTAAGCAGTACTATTTCCCCATCATTTCTAATGCGTTGCAGTATGTGGTTTAACTGGTTGGTGCTTACTTTCAACACTCAAATTAATTCACATTCTTTACACCCATTTGAGGATTGGTTTGCTGGCACAGCGTAAAGAGTGAAGCCTTTGAGTCTTTGCTGATAAACATTAATCATCTTGGATATACAGTATCAGCAGTGTGAAGCATGTTCTGGATTTTTTTCAGTTCTTTGTGACCCTTGGCTAACTGGTGGCAAGAAAAAATTCCTTAACTAATAAACATTGTTTTAAATAGTCAAAGTCCCTTTTCTTCCAAGGCAACTGTGACACTCATAAGCTATGCAGTTACTGCTGGGAAAATGTAGCCCCAGTGAAACCAAAGCTACATAGAAATAAGTCCTATTGATCTCAATGAAACTTCCTTCTAGGAAAGTATATTTAGGATCCCAGTCCTAAAATCTCACCTCAGTACAGTGTAGCTCAAAGGAAGGGCCACAGCTTTTTCCATTGCAAGCAAGTATTGATCTCTGTCATTGGCATCACGCCAATATGACCCGATTAAAAAATCCAGAAAACAGATGCAGTGTACCACTACTGGTTCTGTGCGACTTCAGAATGAAGACGTGAGGGTTACAGATTTGAATGCTCTCGTATGTTAAAAATATAAAACACAACCCCCACTCTCTTTCTACATGGAAGGCAAGCACACCTGCCTGTCTCAGAAAGTCACTGTGCTGGTTTGGATGCTCAACCACCTACTGGAACTGCCCTATGTGGTACAAGGTGAACCACTTCAGTACCAGCATCTTGGACTCTCAAATCCCCAGCAGCAAAGTAAAAACTGATGGCTGATAGTAAAAGATGCTGGGAGGTCCTGAAGAACCAGTAGGGCCACAATCCTCCTCCCCATCTTTAGATGCCTATCATCCTCTTGGGTCACACTAGCAGTTTCTATCTTGGGTCCTAGCCTACTGGCTCTTTAAGAGGCATTGGATAGAGTTACAGTATTCGCTTTAAATCTTACTGTCTGGAGTGGCAAGGGTTAGACATAAAGGCTATTGCAGTACTGGCACTGCATGGCTACAGATCAGAGGGGGAAATCCAGGTGTTCCATCACCTACAATGATCCTTCGATGGAAAGTTCTTTGGAAACACAACGAGACTTTATGGAGATCATGCAGCAGTATAACGATTATTTCACTTGTTGGTTGAGGAAATAGCATTGATTGGCCCTATCTCCATAAATGTTGCTTATGAGCCTTGAAATGACACTAAAGAATGACGGAAACATGATGTTTCTCCTCAGGTACTTCTCCTTTTGGTGAACTGCATATGCAGGCAATTCTCTTTGAGTGCCACCAGTAAGATAAGATGATGGATTTATCTTTGCAGAGTGTGTTTCTAACTCCCATTTCTGGGTTTCTCTGTAAGTGGTGAAGGCAAGAACCATACGCCATGTTTGATGGGGCTCCTTGACACCATATGGGGGGCAGGAGAAAGGGGGGCAGAGAAAGAGAAACTCAACCATGGGTTAGCACTATGTGGGCAAACTAAAGTGAGCCCATCAAGTACTGGTTTTCTTCACTTCCCTTTCTTCCTCTCACATGGGTGGGAGATGACTTCAGTCTTCAAATAACAATGTCACTTTGTGCAATACAAATCAGGAAGCCTGGATTACAACAAATTCTGGGAAATTAAACTGGTCAGCTTCATAACCTGTTGTCTGACGCCGGCTTGCTTTGAAACCACAGTTTGTTGTAACCCAGGTTACTTAATCTTATGAAACAACAGCATTCTTAAAAAACGAAACTATCTCCAGGCCACATAGGAGGGAAAGGAGCGGGGAGTTCTCACACAACTGTTTGCTGGAGCTTGTTGCATTCCACCCATGTAGCCTTAAGCCGTGGTTTAGTGTTACACATGCAAATGCAGCTCTTTGTGTGTGAGTGCCCCCCCCCTGCTATCCACAGACCATCTTCTATGTCAATTCTGGAACAAAAGGCTCATTAAAACAATCCCACAGCAGCATAGGAACTGCCTTGTACGGTCCATCTAACTCAGTACTGTCTACACTGACTGGCAGTGGGTTTCAGGCCCACCTGTGGGTGCCATGGGGTCGAACTTGTGACCTTCTGCATGCAAAGCAGCTGCTCTGCCAAGGAAGCTATGGAGTTGCCAGGAATCAAACCTAGGATGTTTGGCATGCAAAGCAGGCATTCTACCACTGAGCTAGAGACCCTGTTTTGTTCCTATATGTTTTATATTTATCGTATATAACTTCATATATAGAATTAGATATATTTTAATATAAAAATAGATAATTTATAGCTGTAATAATGCAAGGATCTCAATGTGAGGGATATTAAAAAAATAAGACTATCAGATCAATAAAATAGAAACAAAATAGATGAAGGAGCAGGGACCAAACACCAAAGAAAACCCCCAAAACCCTTGAATGAATAAAGCAGCCCACTTAAAGTTCCTGTTGCAATCAAACAGAAAGCTGCTTCTAAAGCTTAGGAGTTGCTACTTGTTCAGTAGTGGCTACCAGCGTAATGGTTGGACTGCCAAAAGCAGGGGTCAGCAACCTTTTTCAGCCGTGGGCCGGTCCACCGTCCCTCAGACGATGTGGTGGGCCGGACTATATTTTGAAGGGGAAAAAAATGAATGAATTCCTATGCCTCACAAATAGAGGCGATTGGGCCACATCCGGCCCACAGGCCTTAGGTTGCCTAAAAAAAGGTAAAGGTAAAGGACCCCTGACAGTTAAGTCCAGTCGCGAATGACTTTGGGGTTGCGGCTCTCATCTCGCTTTACTGGCCGAGGGAGCCGACGTTTGTCCGCAGACAGTTTTTCCGGGTCACGTGGCCAGCATGACTAAGCCGCTTCTGGTGAAACCAGAGCAGCACACGGAAACGCCGTTTACCTTCCCACCGGAGCGGTACCTACTTATCTACTTGCACTTTGATGTGCTTTTGAACTGTTAGGTTGACAGGAGCAGGGACCGAGCAACGGGAGCTCACCCCGTCGCGGGGATTCGAACCACCAACCTTCTGACCGGCAAGCCCTAGGCTCAGTGGTTTAGACCACAGTGCCACCTGCATCCCTAGGTTGCCTACCCCTAGCCAAAAGGTTCTCAATGATTGAACTTACAGAGCAGAGAAGTACACCTGGAAGAATGTGTTCTCTCTGCTAGTTTCTTATGCAGTGAGGGCCAGTGCTACTAGGATGTGCAGCAGAGATAGGGAAAGAGGGCATTCTCATAGCTTGCTTCACTAGGATTTTTTTTTGTACACCCCCAAAAATTACCTTTTAAAAAGGCAAAACCCTTGTACAACCATTTGCATGGATTATCTATGTCTTGGTTATTCCGTTTTACTGTGATGCCTTACTGCTATCCTATAAGGATTGAACTCCGTAAGTTTCCTTAGGGGTTGTAAGAAACTCACCACCACCACTGAGAAAGTAGAGGAGGTATCACACTTTTGGGCAACACACACACACACACACACACACACAGAGAGAGAGAGAGAGAGAGAGAGAGAGAGAGAGAGAGGTAATGTGATGTTAGCTTAAAAGCTTTGTGCTATAAATTTAGTTTGCAAAATACTAATACTAGGCCAAAATGACTACTGCAACACTGGCCTCAAATTATGAATTGGGGGGGGGGGGGCTTGCCAGATAATACTCTTTGCCCAACTCTGTAATGATGAAATCGAGATGGGTACAGAATACCCTTTTGGAGACTTCCTATCCAACTACAGTGCATAATACGTTTGCATTGTTCCATTCACTGATAATCCACAGATGATCAAGTGTGCCTTCCACACCCATCGCTTGCTATGAGGTCATTATGAAAAATGCACATGGGTTTAATCTGGCGGGCTTTGTATCTAAGCAGGTGACTCATAGTGCCACAGCCAATTTTGTATTTTTTTGTTATTAAAACATGCTAAATAGCTTCCTGTGATGAATCGAAAGAGCTCCTGAACTGGATGCCACAAATGACCTTTGAGTTTAGGATTTCGAGTGCAAGTTTGCTTAGAAATTGTGGTGAGTTCTTCAGAAATGTGTTTGTGTAGATGTATGGATGGACAACAGATGCTCAAACTAGAACCCACAAGCATACACAAATTTCTGCTTTTGTATCAGAGAAAAAGAAATTTCTGCTTTTGTATCAGAGAGAGAAAAAGAGGAGAGAATGAGCTGTGAGGTCCCGAGTTCAAATTTCACCTCAGCCATAGGTTATTCAACTCACCTAAGGCAGGCTACCACCACTTAGCCTCAGTCTGCCATTTGTTACAAGGGGGTAACAAAACTGGCCTACATTACAGGGTAACTGTGTAGATTGCTGAGATCATGTACATGAATCACTTGAAAGGGTAACCAGGATTAGAAGTTGAATTTTCAGTCCTTGGGGTATAGTGTTGCTAAGTTTGAGTGATTAATGCTTAAGGAACCATGCTGTGACTAGAACTTCCTACAACTGAGAACGAAGTATACTGGAAACTAACAGAGCATGCAAATACTGGAAGGAACAAGATGCCTCCAGGCTTAGTAAACATTGCATCACACGGAAGTTTCTGGAGGGGAGAGCTAAGCCTCATCTGTTGCAAGAGTAACGTTTTATACACGTATGAAGTAAAAAATGCTATTGATTTTGTGTTCCTGAAAAAGAAAAGCGGGTCATTCGGCATAATTAAGTTGTGAGAATACTGGATTTCCTAGGTTGCCGCTGGATTTAGAATCCAGTGTAAATTAGCAGGAATGTAGCCCAGTTCACAGTGAGAAGGTGGAGATCACCCCTGCAGAAGACCACAAGTTCAGATATTAGTTGGTGGGTTTAAAAATGGGCATGAGGCAGTTTTGCAACTGTGAGCCTTTGGGTAGCCGCCTCTGCCCCGAATTGTTAGTTGTAAGTGGTGGCATAGTAGTATGGTTGTACCTTGGATCTCGAACGACTTAGTTGCCAAACGTTTCGGCTCCTAATCAACAACCAGAATGGATTCTGTTCAACTTCCAAGGTACGACTGTCTTAGCAGTAGTGTGGACCTGCGCCACCAACCTCCATCTTGATTCCTCCAAGTTCACTTGCTTCTTACAACCAGTTCAGAGGATAGGCCTGGCTCTCTGCTTCCTCCTTAGCTTTTCCTCCTTTACAACTCAGCAGGAAAATGGGGACAAAACTAGCATTAGTTGGCTCTGTTAGTCATTGGCTCGGCCTCCATCTGCAGTTGGGTTCCTTGCTTTTTCTCCCACCAGGGCCTATTACAATGAGTAATAGCAGTAAATAATATAATTAATGACATCTGTGGCTTGTGCATCTAAGGACATTAGTCAAAATCTCATGTCTCCCCCAACTCCCTTTTTGGGTTCTTTATTTTTTAAGAAAGAAAAGAAATGGAAAAAAATGGCAATAACCCATGTCGCTTGTACATTTCAGCTTACAAGCAGTATCAGAAAATCCAAGATCAGCAAAATATTACAATTTCAGAACAGTTTCTGTGTTTCCTCCCTCTCAGTTCCCTACTGCAGCTTTACAGAATAAATCTTGAACACTGATGCCCCTGCTTTCTGTGCATTGATTTCGTTCATTCTGCATACGTAATAGATGGGAAACATTTTTCCAGAAAGTTATCCAAGCAGAAAGGGTTACATGGCCCATTAATTTGAGCTACAGTTTGTCCCCAGCTAAAAAGTCACATGTTTTACCAAGCCAACTGCAGTGGTACCTCGGGTTACAAACACTTCGGGTTGCAAACTCCGCTAACCTGGAAGTAGTACCTCAGGTTGAGAACTTTCCCCCAGGATGAGAATGGAAATTGTGCGCCGTCGGCACAGCAGCAGTGGGAGGCCACATTAGCTAAAGTGGTACCTCAGGTTAAGAACGGTTTTGGGTTAAGAACGGACCTCCGGAAAGAATTAAGTTCATAACCCGAGGTACCACTGTAGTAATAAGTGGCAGATGCTTGCCTTCCCAACTACTGGTAGTTGCCCCTTGCAAATTTAGCAAACAATATCAACATGAATATTTTATTTATTTATGGGCAGTATCCAGGGGCTTTGTTCTGTTAAAATAAAGAATTACGCTTGCACAATGGAACTCCTCCCCTCTCCTCTCCCCTCCCTGTACCCTTCCCTAAACTCCAGAGAATTGAGGGAAACACCAGAACAGATTTAGGGGATGCACAGGGGAAGGAGAGGGAAGAAAGCTCTGTTGCGCAAGGGTAAATTCTTGCACTAATGGAATGAGAGACTTGGTGCTTCTTTGAATGCAAGATGATTGCTTGGGGCTTCTCATTGCATTTTATCCCCACATCCTTCTTCCTGTGACAGATCTATTTATTATTTAAGTATATATCCTTGTGGAATCCCCAAAGTAGCTAATAACAAAATATACAACAAAATGCAAAATAAATCATTAAAACATATGCCATCATACCAGGTCACATTTTCATACCATTTCTCACGTATCTTGAAGGAGGTTGAAATACACCATTTGAAATGCCCATTTATTAGTACTGACCCATTTATTTATTTATACTTTTTATTTATTGCATATTATGAATAAATAGACATAATTAATAATTAATTTTTAGATGTACAATATATAATCTGCTCTAAGAGTGTTAGTATTTGTTACATCTAAAAATTAATAATTAAGTCTATTTATTCATAATACGCAATAATTAAAAAGTATAAATAAATCAATCACATGTCGTGAAGTAAGGCCAACAGTCCTCATTCCTCAAATGGTTTACCGGTAATAAATAATTAAACATTCAATTTATAAATGCAGTGAATTTTTCATTGAAACGTACTCCTTGGCCTAAAATGCTTGGTTCCCTCTTTAACAGGCTCCATTTAATGTCTCGAAATCTTTCCTTTTCCTTTAGCTGACTATTAATTTTATAATATACAGTTGTTCCCATAGCTTTCTTCCAAGATCTGATTTGTTGAGTTTCCAGTTGCTTTTCCGTGACTTCGCATACAAAATCCTGGCTGCCGTGATTATATATAGTGCTGGTTTTGATGTTCTGGTGCTACAGTACATGAGTATAATGGTATGGGGTTGCTCGTGCGTAAGTTGCCGCCTCTCCTGGCTATGTTGCCTGGTTAAACCTTTCTGTCTGGACAGCCCTTCAATTCGTGGCTGCCTCAGTCGCTAGCAGAATCCGTCAGTGGGCGTTTCTTAAACCTTTTCCAACATAAAAGTTGTTTGACACCCAGTCTCCTCCTCCTTTCTCTGCGCGGAAGTCTCCTGCGCAGGGAGGGCGTGGGTAGCGGAGGACCAGTGCTCTCTCCGCTGGTGTCCGGTGAAGAGTCTGGGAGCCCTCTCTCCAATTCCCCCATCTGCCCCTCCTTATTCCTGGTGTTGCACTGAATTGCTTCCCCATCTGCTGAGCTGCCTCTCTCCCTGCTGGGCCCTTCTCCAGCATCATTAGAGAGCCTCCCCTCCACCTCTAGCTCCGATGTCAGTTCCCTGACAATGAGTTTTTTACATAGTTCAGCAGACATAAAAGAGGATCCAGTGGAACTTTGTACAGCAATTACCATATCCCAAAACCTCTTAGCTTTGCTATATCCTTATCATAACCACAAAAAGTCTCCCTTATCTGTGTCGCAGGGCCAGCACTTAACCATTCCCCTTTCTTCTCAACTTTAACTGACTTCCAGGGAGCCCAGTGCCACTGAGGTAACATCTTTACAGAGATTCCCTTATAGTTATTTGCAACTGAGAAAGTAGCCGACTTGGAGAAGGGCTTGTCAACCTTTTGCAGCCCAACATTTGGAAACCTGAGAAACTGTTATGGGAGACTACGCCCCCCAACCACTGCAACCCCTTCATCTCTTACGACAGTGTGGTCTTCTCATGATAGGCGTGGGTGAACTCACAGGAGGAAATCTTTAACAATGTAGTAAGGCTCAGATGTTTTGTAAGGTAAGACAGGACCAGCACAAGGCAAGTCTTCTTTACTGGTCCCCATATGGATTTGGGCCTTAACTCTGATCTTAAGCCAACAAGTTTTTTGATCATTGGATAACTGTTAAATTGACCAAACAACTTGAGAGTATGGGGAAAACTAGCTGTCATGGCTAATGACCTATTTTCAGACAATGTATCCTGTTCCTCTACAGGCCCAGGGTGCCTCTGTTTGTTAAGGCTTGGCACAAGAGGGGGTTAACTCTGTTTTGACAACAGGCTACTGGCACTGCTCTCTCAAGAACGGAAGCCCCCGAAAAGCAGAACAAGCTTGCGGTGACATTGTGGTGAAGCTTCAAGCTGCTGACAGATTGGTCAGAGGCGGAAAATTTCCTCACTTGACTCACTACGATATTGCGGAGATGGTGGAAGGATCTAAGGCATCTTCCCAGAAGAAGGGTAGTCTAAGGCTGCAGTCCCTAAACACACTCACTAGCAAGTAAGAAGTATTGAACACAATGAGTCTTACTTCTAAGTGAACATGATAGGACGGTGAGGAAGGAACAACTCAAAAGCGTTGTTGTTGTTGTTTAGTCGTTTAGTCGTGTCCGACTCTTCGTGACCCCATGGACCAGAGCACGCCAAGCACTTCTGTCTTCCACTGCCTCCCGCAGTTTGGTCAAACTCATGCTGGTAGCTTCACGAACACTATCCAACCATCTCGTCCTCTGTCGTCCCCTTCTCCATGTGCCCTCCATCTTTCCCAGCATCAGGGTCTTTTCCAGGGAGTCTTCTCTTCTCATGAGGTGGCCAAAGTACTGGAGCCTCAGCTTCAGGATCTGTCCTTCCAGTGAGCACTCAGGGCTGATTTCCTTAAGAATGGAGAGGTTGCTATAAAAGCGTTGTAGCAACCTTTGAAAGCTTGCTTTTTTGAAGTAGAAGGAGGGTTGTGATGTAAACCAGGTGGGGACAACCTTTTGTCAGGGTTTAAATTCCTTTGGGGTAATTTGTTGGGATGCATGTTGACACTGAGTGGGACCAGAGATAAAAATGTTTTGGAATAAAGAGCCTCCTGCTTCATTTTTCACTAGCAGTGGTCGCTGGTGCCCATTGGGACTGGTAGGGGAAAAGGCTGGGAAACCAACAGTAGGCAGAGCACGAGCCAACTAAGGTCACATCCACACTATACACTTAAATACATCTTAGGCCACTTTAACAGTCATGATTCCTCCCCCAAAGAATCTTGGGAACTGTAGCTTGTGTGCAATATAGCTAAATTTCCTAGCAAACTATATTTCTCAGGATACTTTGGGGAGAGCCATGACTGTTAAAGTGGTATAAGAGGGCTTTAAATGCATGCTGTGGGTGTGATCTGATTTTAGTTTTGCTCCTGTCCTCCTCCCTGTTGAATCCTGCAAAGGCAACATGGAGACTAAGGAGGAGGAAACTGACAGGCAGTGCTATCCCTTGAGTTGGACATATAGGAAGAAGGCTGGACAGGCAGGGGCTGGTGAAGGGCAGGCTGAGGTTGGTGTGGCAGTGCCACATTTTCCCACATGGACCAGCCTCCCCTCGATGCCAGGTTGGAACTGGAATTCTGTCACATGGGATGGCATTATTCTCCTCCCTTTTTTATGTTGTGTGCCCTATGTATAAGTTAACGTGGAGGAAATCATTTATGGGCACACTTGGAAACACAATAAAGCCCTCCCCCCACCCCTGTAGCTGAGGCCAGAAACACTGAATGGGTTGAAGTGATAAAATGCATAAAAGTTGCCTCTTAATCATCATTGCATCTGTTATAGCAGTGTCTGTGTCTGTGTCTTTCATTTGTGTTTGAGTCCTGTAGGAAAGAGAACTTGCTCAGAGCCATCATGTTTCAGACTTGTTACCACCTCCCTTTATGGAAACATTTGAAAAGAAAGCTAAGATATTTGGGATATCTGCAAGAAGTTAAGGGCGCAGGGTAGTGTTTTGAGTGTCCAATGAGCTACAGGTTCACCCCGTTCTACTGTATTTGAATCCCAATTCATGTCTCTCACATAACCTTCCGCTATTTTAAAAAGGTAAAGGTAAAGGGACCCCTGACGATTAGGTCCAGTCGTGACCGACTCTGGGGTTGCGGCGCTCATCTCGCTTTATTGGACGAGGGAGCCGGCCTACAGCTTCCAGGTCATGTGGCCAGCATGACCAAGCCGCTTCTGGCGAACCAGAGCAGCGCACGGAAACGCCGTTTACCTTCCCGCTGGAGCGGTACCTGTTTATTTACTTGCACTTTGATGTGCTTTCGAACTGCTAGGTGGGCAGGAGCTGGGACCGAATGACGGGAGCTCATCCCGTCGCAGGGATTTGAACTGCTGACCTTCTGATCGGCAAGTCCTAGGCCCTGTGGTTTAACCCACAGCGCCACCCCCGTCCTTATTTTATAACACTTTAATTAAATAGCACCGCTATTTTATAACACCTTAATTAAAGAGCAAAGGTACTGTAAAATCTTCGATGCACCTTCATTGTGTGTGTGTGTGTGTGTGTGCATGTGTGTGTGTGTGTGTGTGTGTGTGTGTAGCGTGTGCTGGCATTTGCATACTTCATCATTTTGATAATCATGAATACTCTGACACATGGAAAGGTGGAACGGGAAATTATTTGAATGTACTAGTCTAGCATGGCAAGGAACAGCTGCCTGAGGTTTTGCTAGAGGAGACAGTGCATATTCTCACCCCTCCACAGCTTGCAATTGCCCCTGAGGCCTGGATTAAATGCAATAATTGTTCCAATTAAATTGCTGTCAGTATTTTAATAGGCATAACTGCATGTGCCATCAGTGGAAAGCACGGTTTGCAAAAGCAAAATATACTGGTGGCGAAAAAGTTCACAGTTGAATTGGATTGCACCAATAAAATTACTTTTGTAAACAAGTGGTTTTTTCCACTGAGCAGTATATAGGCTGATAAGGTTGACATCTCTCCCTATGTACTTATACACTTATGTCAGGTTGATTCATGATGATAAAAGAAAATGACGGCACAGCACAGGCTGTTTGCTTGTGCCTATGTTACATAGGATGGTTTCTGGGGCAGTGATGGTACGGCAACCTTCTCACTCAGAAGCAGTTGTTAGTGGGCAACTGGCAAACTGATGTAAGTCTCCCAGGCCTCAGAAATGAACTTTCTCTTCTTAAGGGAAGGGTGGGTTCTGTAACAGCAAAAGTGTTTGAATACTTAAAAGTTACCAGCTTGTGGCTTGTTTTGAGAGGAGCAAGCTGTGCAAATATTTTGCCTATGCTGAAATACCAAAACTATAAACATTTCTAAAATGGCACCCAGTTTATAGGGTAGAACGTTTCCATTTTTTCCTCTTTTCATGATGGATAAGAGTGTGTGTATACATTGTACTTGGTTGTGTCATGCCACACAATGGCAGGCCAAACAGCTGCAGAGCAGGCATGGGGAACCTTTAGCCCTTCAAATGTTACTGAACAACAGCTCTCATCAACCCCAGGAAGCATGGCCAATGGCCAGGGGTTGTAAATCACTAACATCTGGAGGGCCAAAGGCTCCATACATTAGAGCCTCTACAAACTGTTACTGTTCCTTGCCATATGAAAAAATGCAGGTATGAATACAGGCTGAACCAAATTGAAATTTTGTGTGAATGCAGAATTCGTATTTTTAGAGGAATGGATCTGTAATGTTTTTAGGATGCTGAGTGAAAGCACCCAGTATTTGTTGGAAGACAATTTTTTTGCAAGTCAGGAGTAAGGAAGATGGCAGCTGAGATACAAACTGAGTGAGCCATAACTCCAGTGGCATTTCAAAGGATTCTGGGGTGTACATTGTAACTTGTGCCAGAGTGCCAAAGACTATATTGTGTATATTTTGGTTTCAGTAAGGGACTTTCTTGCCTTAATTAATTAATTAATTAATTAGTTTATTTATTTGTGACTCTTTTTACATGAGGCATTCTAAATTGATTTACAACAGAATAAAATATTTATTAGGCACTGTACATAAAAGTAAGACTTTTGGAAGTGAAGACGTAAGAGCACAAGGGCTGATAGGTTTGTTCTGAGATAACTTGGGCAGTTTTTACATGCTTAAGAAGCATCACTTTGACAAAACCTGAGAAACTCTGTATTAGTACATTCTGTTAGGTTTCCTCAAAGGAGGAAATTGAAGAATAACTTTTAATTTACAACTGGTTGGCATACGCCTGTGGAAGTCCTAGAGTCATCTAGGGTTAAAAATTGCAGATGGAATTAAAGTTTCTGTATAACTTGATGAAGAACAGATGCCAGAAAACAATGTGGGGGGTGAGTGGGAATGTTTGGGTTATCATTACAATCTCTCTTCTCCCCGACCCCAAGCATGCAAGAATGCATATTGAAACCATAGCTGTTTGAGAACCCAAATTGTTACCTGGAGGACATGCAATTTTTGGTTGACAAAATTGCTGCCGGATTGGAATGCACAAGAGGGCTTGCAACTTGAAGACCTTATTAAAAAGAAGAATCCACTCTTCCTCTTAAAAAAAAAAAAGGTTTTCCATTTTCCTTTTTGTTTCCTTTTCTTAAAAAAACCCCCAAACTTCATCAGTTTAATGCACGGTTGTTTGATTCCTGCAAGCCTTGGTGCACAAACAGAATACTACTCTATTTATAAACAAAGGGGAAAAGAGGAGTGCAGATGAGCTTGACGCCACTTTAGCATAAAATTGCAGGAGTAAACAAGGTTAATTATGTGACTGGGGGGAAATATCTGGGAAAAGCTGGAGCTTCTCTGCAGCATTTGCAAATGGTGGTTAATGTAATGTTAAATGTTGATTTAAACTTCCCTGGTTGAATATTTGATGAGGAGTTGCCTGCTTACCCTCTGTTTCGAAGATGTTGCCTACCTTTGGGCAGAAGTCTTTGGTTTTATCAGGGTGAGATGCTGCTTCTATAAGTGATACCACATCCATTGGGATAGAGACAGAAGAAGTCAACATGTCTGAATAATAGAACTCTGGAAGGTTCAGAATGGACCCCAGCAATGATCAGTATTGGTTGATGCCTGCGGTATAAGCCCATTTTCAAAAGGTTAAGGACCAGGAGCGTTTTCTAGCTTTTTCTTTTAAACACAGTACTTGAACCTTCTAATCTACATCTGCTACATTGTGCCAAAGACAGTATTGCTGTTGTGATAGATGTGGAAATCACATGATTGGGGAGAGAACGACAGTGTGACGTAGCTACTCTTGCTAATTAGATGAGTACTACCCAAGACCATCGTATGACAACAGTTGTGATTTTAAATCTTCAAACAAAATGAAGCAAGAACTAATAAAGACCAAGTTCTGTTCATTTAGGAACATTTAGCTGATTAAAGATTGGAAGCTTGCTTTGTGTAAACCCCTCCTGAACTTCCACTTTATCTACACAAGTCTACACATGATAACACAAATGGGTTTTTATTTTTTCACATGCATGAGCCCCATGGAGACATGGTGGAAAGAGTGATCAGATGAGGAGGAGTGGAGGTCCTTCCAAGGAGGGCCTGAGTGACTTGGGAAGTAAAGACCTCGATCCGGGGAAAAGACCAAGTGGGTTGTCAGAAGAGCGGCACACTTCAGCGTCATAATGTAATCCAGGTGCAACATCATCACCATCCAAGGGGCCCCAGTGCCTCTCCTTAGCAGCAAGGAGGCATCACTCTCAGAGGAGGCACCAAAGGATAGATGTGAGAGCAAGCTGGCCCCATTATCTCTGTTTCCATCTCCCAAGAATGCAGAGGTGACAGCGCTGGCAGGACCATCCTCTGCTCACTCATAGCACTTGCTTGGCCAGCCCTGAGACCTGGGGAAACGATTGCACAAATGACGTGCCTGTCCCACTTTTCAAAAGGGAAGCCTAGGGGGTGAGCCAAGTGATGGAACAACGCCTCAGCTTGCCCCTAGCCATGCGTTGTAGAGCTCTGCTGTGCTTTATGAACCTGTCCCCTGACCTATGTTGAGATGCTGTACTGAATTTTCAACTAAAGCTTTTACAGCTCATCCACACTTCTGCTTGTGCCTAGAAAGCACAGGTCTGAGCGGTTTTCCCCTTACCCCACTCCTTTCTGAGGGAAAACCCACTCTTTAGCGATAGGTGTCCATCTGGAGAAAACCTGAATTGCCGTTTGCGTCAGTGGAACACTAAAGAGAGGTTTCCCCCTTCGTTGCAGCTCCAGAGCCAGGAGTCCCAAGTCAGCAAGTGGGAGCCATGACAATATATATTCTGGCCTTTTTTCAAAGTGGGGAATGTGGATTGGCTTTCAGCAGCAAAGGCCAGATCTGTCTGTCTGCCTTTCTGTTCATGCAGAATCCATTCACCCGTGGCCGTAATGTCATAGTAGTGCTGGTCATTTTTCTGTAACCGAAACCCTGACCTGTGTCTTGTCAGGCTCATTGAGAGGAGCGGGGATTCAGTCTGTGGCAATTAGGTATTTGGAATCACCTCTATCTTTTTTGGGGGGTGGGAGCAAAATCTTGATTTTTATTCCTATTTTTATCATTGCTTCCTGATTCACAGGACACGTACAAGAATAACAGGACACTTACAATATTCTTAGTCATCAAGAAAGTCCCCGTGTAAAAAGTTTGCAAGTATTCCAGTTCACAGTCTTCCTTGATGAGGGATGATCATTACTTCAGCTGTTGAGATTTTTTGATTTTATTTTATTTGCCTGTTAGAAACAAGAATGGCGTCTGAATTGAGTCTTTGTGAGGCTTCATCTAGTGAGTTGCAGGGGGGGAAACCGTATAAATGACTATCTGCCCTGATGAAAATCCTCAATAGAGCCCATTGTTTTTTATATGGCTATTATTGGAGATGGCTGGATACTAAATGATTTTAACCACCAGGCTGAAAAACGTCTGTGTTGGGACACACTCTCTCTTTCTCTCTCTCTCTGCTGGGATAATGACACTGCTTTGAATTCAGATATGGAATTTAGTTAAGGGGAGTTAAAGATCTGCTGTTCTACCCATTGTGTCTGTCTCGGAGACAGTGGATCACTTTAGGGTTTGTAACAGTGACCCTGTTGTCTAGTTCAGTTAATCTTTTATTGCTGGTTTCAATAAAGTACCATTGTGGGTTAAATTTACTGGGTCACCAGAAAATGCTGCTAACAGCATTTGAACAAAACAGAAGTCAAGATGGCTAATTAAGGCCTCTCTTCTTGTTTTGACTCTTCTAGTCAGCAGTGACTGCTGGGCTCCACAGATTTCTTTTTCGTTTTAGGCAGTTTGACTTGTAGAGTGAATTGAAGGGAGGGGGCCAGGATTGCATTCATTGCTCTCAGTCTATTCTCATTCAGCTTAATCTGTGAACAGACCATAGATGCCTTCCATACAAAGCTTTGCACATGATCTGTGGTCCTCCAAGATGTTGCTGGACATTCTTAGTGCACTTCTGATTTATGTAAGTTGACAGTATAAACTTTGAATGGCATCTGACATGTTCGATGCATGTGCCAGAATGGGCTAACATAAATTCTGCTCTGTTTTTCTGTATTGCTCATTCCCAAATTACAAGCCAGGATTTCTTGGTTAGTTGCTGATCGTTATTCATTTGGCCTCTTAAAAAGAGCAGAGGAAGCATCTCTTTTTTTATTTAGGGTTTAGATGAACAAGTGGAAACCAGAGAGAGGGTATAAAATAATAATAATTCCCAGTCTCTCTTTAAGCAAAAATTAATGGGAGAACAACCCTGAGCAAAGCATCACACACACACACAGAGAGAGAGAGAGGGGGGGGGGTTAGCGTGTTCTGCCATGTATCAGAATGACACCTCTTCCTTGGAAAGGATCACCATTTTTTTGCATCAGAAAAACCTGTAGTGTTTTTGCCAGTCAGAAAAGGGGATTTCCACACTTAAGGTTGCATGGCAATGTGTGAGTGACGTAGTCCTGTGCAAGCAGGGAGACTGATTTGTGTCCTTGAATTATTCCTTGCCCAGTTCCCCTCTCCTCGCTCTTTTTGAGCTTTCTAGTATCGTGTGCAGGCACAACAGTGCAACTATGAATGACAGTTAAAATCCACTAATAAGGATTTATCTTCATGGCTGCAGGCAAGCAAGTAGATTCCCATTCATGTCAAAGGAAGGATGCAAGGGCTACTCACAGTAAATTCTGTGAAATGCAACATGAATGAAAATCACGCAACAAGGACAGCTTAGCAGAGTGTGCAAAGCCGTCTCTCGAGACACACAATGTTTTTTGAAGGTTATACTGTAGGTATGGCGAGTACTTTAATTTTAATGAGGGAAGATTCCTTGAATATCTGGTGAGTTTCTGACTCCTCTGAAGAGGTTCTTACTGGGAGATGGCTAGTCTGTGCCCTCTCTCTTCTCTGTTTACTAAATATTCACAAAAACGGAAATGTTAATAAATAACTAAGTCCTGATCTTGGTTGCTGTTTTACTTGCTTTCACTTTTGTTGTTTTGAAATCCATTTTTAAAAAGACAAAGATAGCGCACCAATGATGACTGGTTCTAGGTCTTTAAACTTGACCATTGTAATATGCAAACAAAAAACTAGCTGGAAAGATTTCTTTATCCCCTGCTTTAGAGATAGCTGAAGTCTGGTGGTAACAGAAGTAATTATTAACTTTGAATGGAACCCTGTCACATGGGCAGAGAGAAAAAGCTCCTGGCATAAACAGAGGGCAATAAAATGTCCCATAAACCTTATCACTAAGAAGTAATTGCTTTCTCCTGCTAATACATTCAGTATGGGGAATAGTGACTATGAGATAGATATCAAACCTAGTGGAAGAAACCTAGATTAACCTTGGCTACATCTCAGTCCACATATAGCTTAAATAGGTGGGGTTTCTCTTTTTTTCTAGGCTCCTGGGACTTCTGTCTCTGGTGTAGAAAGGGCTTCTTTCTGGCAGGGTGAAAGAAATGACAGTCTGAAGCAGCTGCACTCTGTACCCAAACTTCCCCCTTCCCTTCGGTTTTCTGCTGCTCCTGCAGCTTTTCACATCTGCCATTTGTGGGTGCTCCCACCCATCAACCATGAATTCCCATCAATGAGGAAATTGCATTTTTAGCATCTTACAGTGTCACAACCTCTGTTTTGGCATCACACTTTTCCTAACTCAAATTAGGAGCTGAGCCCTAGTGTAAAAACAAGGCTGAGGGCAGTGGAGTCTCATCTGTGCCTGCAAAATATATTCGCATCTACTGCTTTGGATTAAATATTCTGAGTTACTATAAATAGTCAGGTTTTCTTCTCCAAAATGTTCACAATGGCTTTCTTCACTTTAAGCCGCCCAGAGAGAGAGAGAGAGCACTGTACAGTTTATTATTTTGTATTGAGAAGGACCTCTGTTAGGGACAGCTAAGCAGAGATTGTGATGGGGCAAAGAGAGTAGCTAAGCCAAGCTGCACTTCAAACCTAAATTATATTCTGGGATATTCATTTATGTTAACAGTTCCCAGTATCTATATCCATAAGGTTGTCTGCAATATTAAATTTGTTACTCATTTTTAAATGCTCTTAGAAATCTTGCTTTCTCTTACCTCACTGTTATGTTCCTATTCAGTTTTTTTAATTAAAAAAAATACTTTACACAAAGCAGCCCCAGAGAGTTGGAAACCCCCTTGAAATGGTTCGGATACAGTACCAGAGGCTGCAGTGGGAGTGTGTATCATGAGAAATCAGGTGGGACCCTTTGTGCAAGGGTAAATCTAGATCCAGTCCCATGAAACGGGGCTATTAGTGTAGTATTGTTCAACAATAGCAACATGCACATGTTGCATGCTTTAAAAAAAGAATGCTGTCTCACAAATATGAATTGTTTGTTGTTAATGAAATGTTTGTACTGTTTAATATAAATAAAAACCTCTAATCCGTTTACATAAAAGCAGTTAAAAATATAGCAACATTCAATAACGGTTCCTAGAAACTGGATAAGTAAAAACAAAACTAAAGCTCACAAATAAAACAGACCTGGGTATGGAAACGACAAGTGAAAATTATGAGTCAAACTCCAGGAACTTTTGGGAAATCAGAGAACACATTTTAAATATGATTACTTATAGGAATGTGTGGCAACTTTTTTCAGTTTGGGGGATGCACACAGAGGATGCTCATTCATAATTTACAAGTGTCTATTGGAAAAGTAAGTGGTGACGTAAAGTAAATGATAAATTATTAGTTAATTGATGGACTTTATTAAATAAGTCTTCCACATGAGATTTTATGGATTACTTAGCACTGGATGCTGAGAAGCTTTACAAGCTTCGGGTGAGACATCTCAGCAGCCACTTGGCCTTGACTTGTGAGCACCTCTGAGCTCCAGTCTCTGCCAGTCACTCATGGGAATAATTGAGCCCTTCCAGAAGTGCTAACATGGAGATTATGAGGAAATGCTGGAGGATACATTAGAAATCAGCTACAAGGACACTTGAATTCCTGCCTCCCCCCCCCCCCCAAAAAAAAAAACTAGTGGGGAAATGGCACATTGCAGGCCACCAGAAAAGAGAAGTTTGGTTAAAAAGCAAATGCAGCCGCCACATTGTCGGGGGTCTTAAGAGGCCTGCTAAAAATCTCTTGGAGCGCAGCAGCTGGGCCACAGGTTGACCATACCTGACCTGTACTTGGGCACATGCTGGCGTTGCTCAGCCTGTTTCACAACAGAAATCTGCGAGTGACCAACTATCATGATGGCAGGCTTCTAGATAGTACTAAACTTCTCCAGGTTTCCAACCAGTTTGTGTGCTCTGTTGGGGTGGTTGCTGACATGAATCTCCTATTTATAACGAAGCAACAGACAGTGTTTGCCATCCTCAGGATTGGAACTAGCGCTAGGCTGTGATTCTGGATCCCCTCAAGAGTTTTTCCATTGAAAATCTCTCCAGAGTGTTGCCTTGTGGATGGGACCTCCTGCTTTGCCTTGTTTCAGCTTTTTGCTAGGGCTTTGATGCCATTCATCCTCATGGACTACTCCTCACATTGGAGGGGGGGGGCTGGAGATGGCTGGAATAGCTATCTAGCCGCAATGGTTCTGCAGTGAAGTGGGTGGGCAGGCGAAAGGTCTGCTATGTTGAATGTATTCTGGCACTGACAGCTCAGTATCTGCTCTCTAAGCTCCAGTGATAAGATTAGCGATGAATATTCAGGAGTTACCTTTTAATATTTAAATGCTTACATAATTTCATTTGAGATCTCTTCATGCACCAAATTAACTGGGGGGGGGGTCAGTTTGTATATGCATTCCCCTCTTCCCTACAAATGGGACAGAATTCATTGAGCTTGAACACACACTGCACTACCAACAAAAAGCCCTTTTAAAAAAACACTCGTCTGCTTTAACGGATATTTGGCTGCCGAACAAAATAAGCTGAAGAGGCTTGGATTCCTCAGCATCCTGCAACATGCTTTCCATTCCAAATGGTTTGTGAAATTATGAGCTGGTTATTTAGAGTTCGTGGAAAGGTCAGAACATAGAATTCTGCCGGAAGAGAGATCTCCACCCCACCCCACCCCTGGTTTACATTTGGGATTTTCTTATATTTCCCCATGTTGCTTACGCTTTCCAAACGCTCTTATAATGCCGAACTTTTCTTAAAGAGAGAGTCAAAGCATCATATTTATGACATGGGAATCATTGGGGATGCTTTTTAACCATTGCATTTTGGCTGCTTGTGGGGGAACTGATCAAGTTGATTGCTAAGTGGCCCTTTCCAGGTGTTTAGGGACTGCACAGGGAAGTGGAATCAGGATCCCCTCTCTGTGTGTTTGCTGACTTTTCTGAATGCCAGTCATAATGAAAGCGGGCAATTTCAACAGACCCCTGTTAAAACGCACACACGCACACGCACACGCACACACACACACACACACCAGAACTATAAAATCCCTTGGTGTGTTGGCCCTTTGGCATGGGCAGCCAAGAACACAGGTTTCTGGAGGTGCAAGTTTGAGTGGAATGGGATCAGAGCTAGTGGGAAGACGCTGCACAGGTATTGTAGTTCTGTTTGATTTAAAACTGTCAAAGGCCCATCAATTAGCAAACTTGGCCTTGATTCTAAGATATGTTCAGTGGGGGTTACTATAAGACTAAATGCTACTAGGAATGTAGTTGTGTGATACAAGAATTGTGTGACTTTAAGAACTTGAGCTTGCATTTCCCTCCTCTGTCCCATTTCTTTTTTCTTTGCGTGTCATGTCTTTTTTAGATTGTGACCCTGAGGGCAGAGTTGTCTTACTGTAAGCTGCTCTGAGAACCTTTTTGGCTAAAGAGTGGGGTATAAATGTCTGAAATAAAAGAAGGTAGAAAAAGGGGCAATATTTTCTGAGCTTCTCCCAGCAGCTGACCCAGATAATCACATCTTCTCAGTCCCCAAAGAAGTTGAGGAAACTTTGCCAGAGGTTTTCAGACTTATCTGGATTTTCTCTTTTATACATTCTTAAGTTTGGTGCAAGTGGTTTTGAACACAAATGCCACAGAATGTCTATCAAAACAAATGTTTGTCAAAACACTTCTACTGTATTTGAGAATACCTGCTTGCCTTCGTCCTTGATCTGAATCTTAGAGAGTCAGTTGCTGGTTTATTGGAGTAAATGGTAGCTTAAGTTATTTGTTGTCAAATTCTAAGTCCTGACTTGGAAAGCACTTCTTAGCTGACGGAGCCGCACTTTTGTGCCGTCTCCGATATAAATCTGCCCCTTAAATAAACTTTCTGCAGAAACACAATGAACTCGCTTACTAACAAAGTGTGGAAGGAAAGGAAAGTAGTAATATATGAGTTAGAATCTCAAATCTGGGAGCACCAGGCCAGTAAGAAGACTGTGTGAAGTTGGGCCTTCTTAAAAACTGTTAAATGAGAAATGCCATGTGCTGGGTTTGAAAACTCCCAATATAGGATACTTGACTGAATCATTGTTCCTCATTGCACTTTATATCATTCATTTTCCAGCTTGGTAGTAGAGCATCTACTTCCCATCCAGAAGGTACTAGGTTCAGTCTCCAGCACCCACTCCTCTGTGTGAAAAGGGCTAACTGCTTTAGTAGGACAGTTAAGATATTTGATGACAGCTCTTTGATATGGGCAATCCGGTGAGTTAAATACAGTGGTACCTCGGGTTACATACGCTTCAGGTTACAGACTCCGCTAACCCAGAAATGGGTTCTGGATGAGAACAGAAATTGTGCTCCGGTGGCGTGGCAGCATCAGGAGGCCCCATTAGCTAAAGTGGTGCTTCAGGTTAAGAACAGTTTCAGGTTAAGAACGGACTTCCGGAACGAATTAAGTACTTAACCCGAGGGACCACTGTAATGGTAAAAGGATTTCTCACTCACATATACCACTTGGATGCATGCATGTGAAATACTCTTTATGTGTGTGGGTTTTATATGCATTAGTACAGGGGTGAGGAATTATTCTCAACTAATTAATTCCATGTAAACATGTGTGAGCTTTTTTTACGTGCTGGGAAAGCAATTTCAATACTCATTGAATTTGCCCAGACAGAGATCCATATGCTCTCTGAAGCTCATGCATCCAGCTTTAGAAAAATCTGTAGAGTGAAGATGCAGAACTGTGGATTATTTGCACTTTTTAGTGACCCACAACTTCTGAATGCACAAATAGGTTCTGAGGAACACTTCTTCCTTCTTTAAAAAAACTTGACTTGAGGAAGTTGTAGTGATAAATTGAAATGATGTACAGTATTGTTGATCACACAGACACTTCATTTCCCTGACTTTAAAAGCTGAATATGTGAATTTGAGCTGTGGAGTTACTTAGTCTGTTTTCTGTGGCACAAGTTTCTCAAAGCTGATCGTACCTCCAGAAGTACCCCCTTCAATTTAGGCCACACAAATGGCCTGTATTGAATCGCTGAGACCTTTGCCCATTTATTTATTTGCCTTACATTCATATCCTGACTTTCTTCTGTCATGGAAGCAAAGGCAGTGTCTATGTAGGTTGGCTGTATATATGTATTTCCCCTTTGAGAACCTTTAAATGCTATGAGAGGGAAATTGAAGCACATGTTCATCATGAAGGACCATAGCTCAGTGGAGGGACATCTGTTTTGCATGTAAAGAGACCCAAGTTCAATCTCTGGCATTTCCAGGTAGGGCTGGAAAAGATCCCTGATGGAAACCCTAGAGAGCCACTGCCAATCAGTGTAGGCAGTACAGAGCTTGATGGACCAATGGCAGTGTCCTATGTTCCTATGCTCACATTCTTCTCCATCTTGTAGGTGAAAACTTTCCTAAAGGCAAGCCAGTAATTTTTTTAGTGTCTGCATGAGAGAGATTGTGTGCATATGTGTGTCCTTTTGCACATGCATCTCACAGATCCTGAAATAACTTCTGTTTTGTCCTAATGCTTCCTGCTTTGTTGCAGTTAACTGAAAGCATAGAGCACCACTCAAGAGATTAATTTTTCTGTTGCAGTTGAATTTCACAGCCTTGACTCCCTTTCTGGTTGGCTGGCATTGTGTTTCCTTGTTGTTGTTAAATATTCCGCATTCACAAGTGCTGTGAGAAGTTAAACACAGCAATATTTCAATTCAATTGAACCATTCTAAGAATCGAAAGATACTCCTGCAATTCTGACTTGTTTGGGAGTGGCTCCCCAGTCTTGACTGAAGGGAAATAATGAGTAGTGCTGTTTACCATTGTGCCAGGAGTGCTTTTGACTGACTAATCAGCAGAACAGAATAGCCTGCCTAGAGGAACTTGGCAGTTACTTTCCATCTTGCCATTCTGCAGGGTGATCAAAACACTTCCGTGGCTGTTTTGCCAGGTAAATCTAGAGGCACACCTAGTGATCTGGGAGATGCAGTGTGGGGAGGGTAGAAGGGAGGAGCTTTTACAGTGGTACCTCAGGTTAAGAACTTAGATCGTTTTGGAGGTCCGTTCTTAACCTGAAACTGTTCTTAACCTGAAGCACCACTTTAGCTAATGGGGCTTCCTGCTGCCGCTGCGCCGCTACTGCGCCATTTCTGTTCTCATCCTCAAGCAAAGTTCTTAACTCGAGGTACTATTTCTGGGTTAGCGGAGTCTGTAACCTGAAGCGTCTGTAACCCGAGGTACCACTGTATAGCCATAGCTCACCTTCCTTCTTTCATGTAACCCAAAGCAGTAGCCACCCATCCAGGTAGATGTGCTTAGCTTTAGAAAGGTGATGGGTGAGGCACCTGCAGTCTGTTGTGGGGAAACTGCTGCTTATGTACATATTAAAACTAAAACAAGTCTTCTCCAAGATCAAACATGGCTTGTGCCTCTTTCTCACACATCTCCACGCCATCCCTGCTTTTGTGTGTGCCTCTAGGCACGTTAAGATGTTGGCTGACTGGGTCTCACCAGCACTACGCTTTGCAGCATTCCCAGCCACTTTGTAAACAAGGTGGTTGGTTGTTTTGGTTTTTAAAAAATAAGTGTTATAAAAGTGGGGATAAGCAGGAGGTCCAGGGCCCAGGAAAGACCCAACTCCACTTTGGCATCCATCAATAGCACCCCTGCTCTTCACAAATCCAGAACTTACCCATGTTTTTAAAAAGCAAACACCTCCCTGCACATAGGGCACTACCATGGGAGGGAGAAATCTGGACTAGAGGACCCGCCTCCCTGACTTGCTAGTTCCAGGTTTGTTTTATTCTAACATCCCCACCTCCCAGTCAGTCTGAAGTGGCTCAGCAATCTTTCAGAAGCTTTGCCTTGTGTGTCTGCTGATTCGTGTAGCTCTACTTTTAGGTTCTTAGCTATAAAGCTTGCATTTCTTCCCGCTATCCAGCTATCCCACTTTCCTCTTGAAAACTGTTGTACAGACATACCTTGGAAGTCGAACGGAATCCATTCTGGAAGTCCGACTTCCAAAATGTTCGACTTTTAAGGTGCGGCTTCCGATTGGCTGCAGGAGTGTCCTGCAGCCAATCAGAAGCTGCGCCAGACGTTCAACTTCTGAAAATAATTTGAAAACCGGAACAATCACTTCTGGTTTTCGATTGTTTGGGAGCCAAAACATTCAAGTTTATAGGCATTCGGCTTCCGAGGTTCCACTGTACTATGAATGATCAGCTAAAATTGTATTGCAGGAACATAAGACACTGCCTTGTACTGAGTCAGGCTATTGATTCACCTAGCTTGGCATTGTCTACACTGACTGGTAGCGACTCTTCAGGGTTTCAGAATTTGGTCTTTCCCAGCTGTTCCTGGATATGCTAGAGGCTGAACCTAAGACCTTTTGCACAGGAAGCATTGAGTTATGGTCTTCTCACTGTGCTCCAACCTCTGTTAAGCAACACACACACACACACACACACACACACACCCACCCCAACAGGAGTTAAGAAAGGAAACAAGAGTCAAGTTTCTCGAACATTTATTCCAAAGATCCAGCGCATACCACGACTCATATTCTGCCTGTAATAAAACCTTTTCCCCACAATAGTGTCTGCCAGCTGCATCAATTTTCGCCCCCTGAAATAAATTTAAAATATGTGGTCCCACTTATGTTTGTCCCTTTTTCCGCTTAGTAATGTTTCCAGTTCAGGATTGGTGGTCCTCCCTGAAGTGAACCCTCCCACCCCACATTGAAGAGGACAAAGTTGAATATAGAAGCAATAAATCCCCTACTGCTGTTACACTCAGGGTAGCTCCTGAGTGTTGGCCACATTGAGCACCGGTTGTAGACTTAGGTTCATTGAATGTGTTGGCTCAAGGCCTGGTTGGCTGAAAGCAGTGAGAATTTGGCCACAGACCTAGCAAAGTTTCACCCTTGACATGTAATCTCGTGTCATGTGAAGCCAAATGATCCACTGTAACACAAGAGAGTAGCTGCTTTCCTGTAATAGCAGGGCTTCTGCTATTGGAAGGGTTGAAGCAGTGGTTATGACTCTAGCAACATCTGAGGGGGCCATAGGTTCTACATCCCTTGCTTTAGAACAACGGAGGGTAATAACATTTCATAAAGGCTTTAATAGTATAGTGGAGGTGATGGGGACCAGCAACCAGATATTGTGGATGAACCAGATTTGGGTAGTTTGCCTGAGATGTGCACAGTTCGCTTGAGGGCGTTCCATTTGTTGGTCAGGTGGTGTTGGTGGGACAGAGTTGGGTAGCGCCATGTGACACCCGACTGCTTTGCCTCGTTGTAGGGAGAGGGACAGAAGAAACAAGGAGCTCTGGTCGATTTTTATTTTAAGACTTAGGTGAGTATTATGAAAGACTAAAAGTCTACCCTTTAGGAATCTGGATCCAGACCATTGCGTGCTTCCCATGGCTATCTTAGAGATCACTTTAGCCTCATAAGGCTTATCTCATAAAACTTAACTCTTCCAGGCATTTGATGGTTTATGATGATTTTGCTGGTGCTGTTATTTTGCTGCTGTTTTACCTTTGTCTTCTATGGATTTCTGTATGATTTTTATGGTTGTAATGGATTGTTCTCCCCCACCCATCCACCCCGTTTTACGCTTCTATTCATTCATCCAATTTATTTGCTGCTTGCTGCATGTAGTGATTGTGATTACAACACTTCTGTATGGCAGTAACCAGAATGAAGTGACAGGCTCTTGTAGGAAAACAAACCTAAATAGAAATCGCATTTCTGTTAGTCCCTACCGCAAAGTAAAATTTCTACATTCCTCTCCAACTTGTTTTGAGGTTTCTTTTTCAATTGCCTTAGTCCTGTAACCCAAATTGCTGATGTAATGGATTGTCTTTGTTTGCCAGATGTGACACACTTACAAGTATAGATGAGCTTTAAAACAGTTGGATGTGTGGGAGGGGAAATCCCAGCCATAAACTAATGTGGTTAACTGTTTGGGACAGCCAGGCAATGATTTATGGTAGAAGCCAACTTAGACAGCATTGCATGATGTCATTTGTTTTGCTGATGTTGTTAGTCTTTCCTTTTTAATTTCTGTAAAATCAAACAGGTTGCAGAGTTTGAAGTACTAATGGAGGGGGGGGAGTAGGAGGTTACTATTTTTCTTACATTTCTCCATGTAAATTGATAGCATATTAGCCTTATGCTGTAGAAGCAGGCGAGACATTTTCGCTTTAAAGTAGGCCTCTAATTGTAAAGTGTGGGTATATGTATTGCTGACTTTTGTTTTCAGGAATGTAGCATAAAATGAGATTAAACAACTCCCTAATACATTCCAGGAATTCTATGTGCAGTGATGGCAGCGTGGCAATGAAGAGATTTACATCACTTTTTTTTTTTTATTAGATGGCTTCACTACTCGCAAGTAATTAGGAGTGCCTCCTCCACAGTTCTACATTGAGTAATACAGCACCTTCATAGGTGGTATTTTTTAAAAAATGCATTTCCTTCAGTCACATTCAGTACATAGGTGTACAGGTCATGTTCCAGATGCCAGCTACTCATATCAGTGAAGAAATTTAGCTCAGTTGATGCTTTTGTTGTGCCTGAGGTATATGTGTAGAAAGCGGAAAGGCCACTCATATGAAAATTTCAGGCTGTTGTAATGTGCATCAAACATATTTTAGAATTGCTTCATCCAGGCAAGAATTATAGCTACAGATTATTATTTTTTTGCATCAAATGTTGTTGGTGCTTCTTGCACTGTGGCTCCAGTGGGGGCGTCTGCAAATGTAGCGGTGATTAACTTTTCTTTCTTTCTCAGGGGCTGTATTCACTCTTGACCAACGCCCCATGGGCCTTCTTTCAGTGGTGGGTGAAACTCCACACTCTTGTACGCGTGTGTGTGTGCGCACACACACACACACACACACACACAGGACCTCCTCATCTGATTGGTGTAGATCAGTTGAACTTGCTGCTCCCTCTCTGCTCATGTAATTGATCTAATGGCCTGAGTTTGGTTTCTGACAAAAATTAAGTTACTGCCTACCATGGGCATAGCCAGGTTTTTTTTTGGGGGGCAGGACTTTTGTCAGAACTAGTGTGATTGGTCAGCTAAGTATTTCTATTGATTTACTTGATGGGGGGGAGCTGCCCCTCCCTGCCCCCCCTTGGCTACACCCATGCTGCCTGCTATGGCAAAATATTGCAGAATCCATTACATAGTCCTTTGCGTTATTGTTGTATTGTTCCACAACATTCATTTCAGTGCAAAGGAAACGCATTGCAAATCCTGGAGGGATTACTGTTGATAATTGTATATCATTATACTTCATCTGTGGACTGAAAACACCAAGAATTGCTGTTTCAGCCATGGGACAAATAAGTAAATATCAGCAATTTCTGGTCTTGTTTCCATTGAAATTCTCCGACATCCCTACCTGATTTGCGTGCCTATCAGGGTTCTCTGCTGTGCCCACTGTGTAGCTTTTTTTGTTTTTACCACCATGAAAATCAGTCGGGTGTTGGGGGGAGGGAGCAGAAAAACGTACTTTGGAGCCTGCATTAGGCCCCTGAATTAAGAGTTAGCTAATGGAAACAAAGGGACGCGGGTGGCGCTGTGGGTTAAACCACAGAGCCCAGGACTTGCCCATCAGATGGTCGGCGGTTCGAATCCCCGCGACGGGTGAGCTCCTGTTGCTCGGTCCCTGCTCCTGCCAACCTAGCAGTTCGAAAGCACAAAGTGCAAATAGATAAATAGGTACCACTCCGGTGGGAAGGTAAACGGCGTTTCCGTGCGCTGCTCTGGTTCGCCAGAAGCGGCTTAGTCATGCCGGCCACACGACCCGGAAGCTGTACACCGGCTCCCTCGGCCAATAAAGCGAGATGAGCGCCGCAACCCCAGAGTCGACTACGACTGGACCTAATGGTCAGCGGTCCCTTTACCTTTAATGGAAACAAAAGGAAGGGATTGTCTCCTGGAACAGATTTCGGGGGGGGGGTTGCTGGGGAGTGCAGCGGGGAATCAGCAAACTATTGCTTCCTTTCTTCTTCTGAAAGTGGATTTCTATACTGAATCAAAGTTCCTTCTGCTCCTAGAAGGGTACCAATTGGATCAGCTACCTCCTTCTGAGTTGTCTAAATGGGCAATAAAAGGCTTGTAGGTGGGGAAACCTGCTACTTTGCTGTAAACTAAATACATGGCAACATTTTGCCATTCTTGTTTTATCTTATGCTTGTGTTTGGTCTTCGCTTGCAATAGATAGAGAATGTGGACAGAATGACACATTCTGGAAACAACTAAAATAGCAACAAATGTATATGGTGGCATTCAACTACATAATTGTGCTGGTGCAAGGATTACCAGTAACGCAGTGGGACTTTCCCCCATCTCCTCCTGCTGCACGTGTCCCATGCCATCTCCAAATCTGCTCCAGAGTGTTGGGGGAACCCTAGAACAGATCTACAGGTGGTGGGGAGATATCATTCCTATTTGCCTTTGTCCTATGCTGAATACAACCCATTAATATGCACAATTGCCACTGATCATAACTGTTGATAAGTATTTCTTAGAACAATACTCTGCCAAGGAAGAGATTGCAGGCATTGGAATGGGTGGATACTTTTAAGTGCACTGTTTTGTTTCTGTTACGTTCCAACACCTTAATTAAAAGTGACAAAGAATCTTGTGGCAGCCTAAAGTCTGCCATTCATTTTGCCGTAAGCTTTCTTCAACTACAATCCCATTTCATCAAAACTCTGAAGTGTTTCCCTCAGGGAAAAGGGAACAAACGGGTCTGATTCAAAGCCTGTAATCACTTGCTTTGGCAGCATATTATTAAAGGTGCACCTGTAGCAAGAAATACCTGTACTTATTGACAGTTATGACTTGCACCCATTCATTCAGTTTGCTCCAACGGAAGCCCCTTTTAAGGCGTTAAGAGGCAAGACTGTGAGAAATGCCGTCTTTAAAAGTTTCCATCCATTTCTGATAATTCATTTACAGCAGGAATAGGGAACCTGTAGCCTTTCAGATGTTGGGCTGTAACTCTCATCATTCCTGACAATTGGCTGGGCTGGGCTGGGACTGATGAAGTATCAAATATCCAATCTACTTTTATCAAAGGTGAAAAAACCTAATCTAAATAAAAGCACAAACCAAAAGAAAGGGAATAAAAAAGGGGGGGAGGAAAGAAGAAAAGGAGGGAGAGGAAAAAAGGGGGGAAGAACTTCTGGTGCTTTGATTGTCATCTATATATCAAAAAATGTTTGAAACATCCACTTTGAGATAACACCCAAAATCCCACTTTCTAAAAAGAAATATTTTCTTCAATCCTCAAACCCAGATATCATGTCCATTTTCTTTTTCACACACAAAGTCTATAAGGAGTTTCCAGTCTTTAGTAAATAAGGGTTGCTGGATGTTTTGTCCAGCAACATTTGGAAGGCTCCAGTTTCCCAGCCCCAATTTATAGTCTGGTCCAAGGATGTTTGATGAGAAGTAGGTTCCGCTCTGATGAATGACATTTATTCCCAAGTAAGGAGACATAGGATTACAACCTTTATTCCACAGATATTTCAGCTAGATGATTTGCTGTTTGTAGCAAAATATAGAAAAAAAGCCTATGCCTATGCAATTAGTTTCATTTTCCAAAAACAGCCTAGTGAAACTGGCTTGTTAGATTTCACTTCTTTTTTCTGTGTACATACAAAAAGTTATTCTGGAAGGTGGCATTGGACGCCACAAAACAAGCAGTGGTCAAGGAAGCAGAATTGAAGTGTTTCCTTCTTATTTCATGCGTCTCATCATGAGGGAGACAGGTGAGTCTCTATTCATTATGTAGGAAGCGCTTGGTGTTAAGAACAACCCACAGTGAAACTAAGGAACTGTAAATTTCATGTTGGCTTTTATTTCCCACTACCACAATTCAACTGCAGTGCTATTTTAATATCACCGTGCATCCTTAGCATAAGATTTTCATTCTGTAGAACTTGTTTGTGACCTGTCTAAATTGGCTTATCATGTTGAGCCCAAATATCATTTAATAATCAGGCAATTATCTGAAACTTATCAAAGTAAATGGAAGGGTCGTGTTCAGTTTGTTTCTGATCAAGTTAAAGTTAGGATAAAGTGTTATGAAATTATCTTTGCAGAGTAATTCTAAGTTTTCAGTTTCATCGCATGTTTGTATTTAAAGTAGAAATCTGTATAGAGAGGGTTAGAGGGTTAGAGGGTTGAACAAGTGTTACCTTAAAAGAACAAGCCAAATCTATATATACATAATTGAGGAAGCCAATTTGTTGGGAATCTCATATGAGATACACACGCAGTGGCAGTCTCTCCCGGTAGTAGTCACCACATGGAATCAGCTTAAGGCCCAAATAGTTTACTGTTGCAGAAGATAACTAAATCAATTATTGTATGTACAGCTTGTAGGCTTTTGCAGATACAGATATACAGTGGTACCTCTGGATGCAAAACGGGATCTGTTCCGGAGCCGCGTTCACATCCTGAAGCGAACGCAACCCGCACCTGTGCGTGCGCGGGTCGCGATTTGCCGCTTCCGCGCATGCATGTGACGTCATTTTGAGCGTCTGCGCATGTGCGAGCAGCGAAACCCGGAAATAACGCGCTCCGTTACTTCCCGGTCACTGCGGAGCGCAACCCGAAAACGCTCAGCCTGAAGCATATTCAACCTGAGGTATGACTGTATACAGAAAATAGAAGTACAAAGTATCTCTGTTGCTCCAAATAATCTCCAGCAATTCAAGATGTAACCCTGAACAAGTAACACCAACAGACTGACAATTTACATACTAACTGACAGACTACTGAGCTACTGCATGCCAGCCCAGTAGTCTGTCAGTTAGTATATGAGCAGGTATCATAGATATAGTCGTGGCACTGGGCAGTTACTGTAGCAACTGGCTTGGCTGACCTTGCACCTGTGATTAGCTCATCCATAGGGTGACTCACACCAATGACGGAAATTGACCGCTTCTTATGTCCGCTTACTCCAGCACAATTATCTGAAGTTTGTGATGGAAGCCGATCTCATAAAATGAGTCCTTTTATGCAAAGCTCTCTACAGGAAGCAGATTTAATGCACTGCAGGGTTTTGTTTAAACTGCCTCAGTAAACTCAGTAAATTTCTCTTCTAAAAGTTAAACTGGTTAGTAACCAACACACCTGTTCTTCTAGTGCAAAGGATGTCTGCTTAATGGAACAGAACCGCCACCCCTTCTCTGCCCGCCTGCAGCCCACTGTGAACCCTCAGAATCAGCTCTGGAGGGTTGGGGAAGAGGAAGGTGAAGTCATGTTGTGCAGGCAGAAGTCTGTTGCACTCAGACCCCTGAGCAGTGCTTGTAACAACTTTCTTTACCCTTCTATCATAGTGCATTTTCTTCTCACTTGTCCCTCTAAACCTCTCATTTTTCATTTGACTACAAGGTCTCATATCCACAACAATCAACAATGTGGAAAAAGAGAGAGAGAGCGTGCATGCATACATACATATATCTGACATAAAGGTTATTTATTGATTTCTTATTTTTGGCATTTATTTACTGCCCAGTCAATCCCACCCCCTGGGCTGCTCATATTTTAAATATATATAAATTAGGCTGCCAGTTATCCACAGAGGGTTCATACTGATCAGCACCTGCAGAAGAGAAAAGCCCCTCTAGGGCCTGCCTTTGCCATTGAACATGTGTTTCTTTAAGTATGCCAGTGTTTTCTAAAAGCTTGCCAGATTTTCTGTGAACACAGCCATCTTATCAGCACCATGAAGGCCCTGCTTCCTTTCTGGGCCAAGACATTAATTTATCATGTTTTTCTTCACATTTATAAAGATAGGTTCATAAATATTTATAAAGGAGGCTGTTTTCCTCTTTCTTTAAGACCTTGATAACTCCTGGGACTTGGCTGGTGACAGAAGGAAGTCATGTTGAATTCAGTACTTTGGGGACCTTAGCAAGTTTCCAGGAAGCATATATTAAATATTGCCAGTAATGTACTCTTTTAGGAAATCTAGTAGCAAACCATTACAATGCAGCAGGTTTTATTTGTACTTATGGGCCACCTTTTCATCATAGAACCCAAGGTTTGCATACATGTGGCTCTCAGATAGCCACCCAACCAGGTATGACCAAATTCATACCTGCTTAACTTCAGCAAGGTGGCCACATTCTGTGCCTTCAGATCACACTCTGGAGCAGTGGGTGTCTCCACTTAGCCACAAAGTCCACTGGGTGACCTTGGGCCAGTCACTGTCTCTCAACCTACCCAACATCAAAGGGTTGTTAGGAAGATAAATGGGACATGAGGAAAGCCATGGTATGCTGTCTGGAGCCTGGAGGAAAGTGGGGATATAAATGAAATAAGTACATAAGAATCAAGGGGGGGTATCCAGTGCTCTTACACTTGTGCAATAGAACTCCCCCCTTTTACTCTCCCTGTCCCCACACCCTTGTGCACCCTACACTCTCCCATAATTTCCTCTGAAAGGTTGGGAGAAATTCCCAGAACAGATTTAGGGGGTGCATGCAAGGGGCGGGGAAGTTCTGTTGCACAAGCATAGATCCTTAGGCTAGAAGAATGAGTGACTTAGCGCTACTTTGGATAGAAGCCTAAATAATTGGCATATGACTCTTCAGCTTTTGAGTTGTAGAACACAATAGAAAAATTCCTAACCATTGTGGAAATAAGTTGCTGGAAATCTAAGATAATTGTGCAAGGATGGGATTTCGCTCACATATAATTACTGCTTTTATTTCAGGTCTTTCTGGCTTTGCTTCATTATTCTGTTTTGTCCTAGGGCACCGTGAACCCTTTTCAGGGTGGAGTAGTATTTCAGATAAACACTTTGTCCCATGTTTTCCGTGATAGCATTTTTTAAAAAAAATCACATGTCTCTCTTTGTTTATAATACTTACTTTAAATCAAAAGTTGTTCTGATGCACAATTAATTAAAGCAAAACTTCGTGCTGTAAAACATAGTATATTTCCGTACTTTATAAAACAGATGAAAAGCAAAATTAACAGTTCTCATTAAAGTACATTTACAAAGTAGGGAGTGATGCCAGCTAATTAAGAAGTTTTAAATAGTGATTTGGGGGTTGTTCCAAAGGCTTCCCAGGAAAGGCAAATTCCAATTATCCACAGCAACTGAATCAGGTGAGCCTGGCGGCGGTGGTTTAAGGGAAATAGTGGGCAGACAACAACCGGTTAGCTCCTCAACCGGTCACTAGTACTTGCCTAAGATGCTGGATCAGTACAGGTGGCTAACATTTTAGACACGTCCACACACGGGTCATTTTGGACCTGGAAGAGGATGGAATGGGGGCGGGCTGAGGCACGCTCCAGTGAAACATGGAGGCCGGGAACAGAACCCCACACACTAAATGGTCACTGCCTGTATAGTTTGCAGGAACTTCTGTGATGCCCAGGATCCCTCCCCTAGAATACCCACCTAGCCACCTTTTCGTTGGTCTTTCTTTCACCATTAGCTGACGAGAGTTTTTGATCTGGCAGGACTTTGGCCTGTCCTTCGTTTGATTCTTTCTCTCTGTCTGGATGATGTAGGGTTTTGTCCTGCCGGTTTTTATTGCTGCTGTGACGTCTTAAATTGTTTTATTTTGGATTTTTGTTAATCATCTGCTGTCCTGAGCACTTTAGAGTGACAGGTTGAAGTGGAAATTTCATAATAAACATAACTAGTCATATCAAACCCAAGGTTATCTGCTCCAGGAAGTTCATATAGGTGTAGGGGAATAAGCCAGATCCCTGTGGCACTCACCATAAATCTCAGCGGCAGAAGTAAAATTGTCCCAAATAAAATTGCCCACTGGGAATGCCTGGAAAGGAAGGGGGGCAGTTAGTAAACCCTGAGAGCGACCCAACATAATGTTGGGTCATTTGGCTGACAAAATCTAGTGTAAATGTTTCATATTTAAGCTTATTATGAGCACATAACTTTTGTGGTTTTGTTGTGGCCTCTAGTGGTTTGCCCTCAGTATTACAAGAAGTAATAGTTTAGATAACAGCCTTTTACTTTGAAGCGTATGGATTTCATATGTGTGGTTTGTGAAAGGCAAACAATACAGTACAAAAAAATTTGAATGTATGTATATTATTATATCTTCTATAAACAAAAGTTGCTTGAATGATTACATTAATACTATGGGGAGACTATAGCTCCTGGGGATATTCAGTAGACAAGCCAGGAGAAATTTTCCTTAAGTGTAGAAAAACAGATTTTGTAAATCTTTTTTTAAATTAAAAAAAACCTCATTTAAAATAAAAAAATATCATTTGGCTTTTGTGTATGAAAAGTCAGATTTTAAAAAAAAATTTTTTTTAAAAAGATACAATGTTAGTAGACTATAATTTTTTTTTAGAGGTAGGCAATAGGAATAATGGAAGGGTCCAGGGATCTGGGGCTTCACAGTGGCCTAGATGAGCTTCTGTAGGTGTGAGCAGCAAATAATGACACAATGTCTACCTGTATCCAGTATAAAAAGCTACAAATGGAGTCGCTACATAGCATAACAAACCCTCAGGGGTCTTGTTAAATATATTGATCTTTTCAGCTTTTCATGTTTTATAAGTATTTCTAGCTGCCATATTTAGGGGAAGTGGTAGAATATGTGTCAACTGCTTTCCTTTCTCCCCATTCTTCTGCATGTACATCTTTTTTCTTTTTCTTTTTTGCTTATGCATCTCGATGGGTGAAAGCCAAAGCTGACATTCTTCTTACAGAATGGCTTTTCATCCAGTGGAGGTGTCTGCTAATGCAAAAGAATGGGAGATGTTTGTTCACAAATTCCCCCCATCCCCAAAAACCTGTTCCAGAGGATTAGATGGTGATGGAAGGAACCACCAGGGAAAGGGTGAATCGGAGAAAATCACTTCCCTCGCATTAGCAAACACCATTGCTGCATCAAAAGCACAAATGTATGCCACAGGGGTAATGACATTTTCAGGATCTTCTAATACCTTTTCTTTCCTTTTAACAGGTAGCAGTTGCTGCTGAATGTAAGTACCACCCTTATTATCTGTTCAGATTTCAATTCTGTCCCTGATAGAGGGGTCACAGCTCTGTAAATGCTGTTTGAAACCTTTCACCTCTGTACCTGTTCCCAGGCCAGAAAGCACCCCTGGAGTTGTTAACTTGTTACTTGAATTTTATAGCTTTTCACATTATCCGGTTTATGAATATTAAATGGTATGTTGATAGGCTTGCTTCCCTTCAGATTGATTATTCCACTTCTGTAGATGTGCTTGGTTTGTACCAATGCAACAGCTTCTACACTTCGTAGTTTCTCTCTTGTAGAAAACCTAACTCTTTTCTGTTGCTATGAACAGAAAGTCACTGAGAATGCTGCATATTGGGCTCATCCAAGGCCCTACCCCCTTTTTTGTGCCATTGCCATACAAATATCCTGGCATTAGATCAGTTCTGCATACAATCTGGTCTCTTGTTGACTCTTCATCTGCAGAAGCACCTCTTCCCACCCCACACTGCTCACCAGTTTCATACTGTCCAGAGCTCATATAACAGACAGAGAGTGTTTCCCCATACTTCATAACAAATATTTCATTTAGCAGTGGAAAAAACCTCTAGTTAAGCAAAAGCATTTCGTTGTTGGCTCTTTTTTCCTTCTGCATAGGTGGTAATGAATGTGGATCTGTAAATGTAACCGTATCAGAAACAGAAATACATATCCAGCCACCTGACAACCATACAATAAGTAATGTAACTTTTGCAAATGGAACACGTGCTGGAGTGCAAACATCGAATACGACGGTATCTGGACTTCAACCTGGCACGCAGTACGAAGTGACTTTTGAGATTTCTGCTGAAAAACTATGCTGCAAAATCATTACAACAAGTAAGTAATGGGCTGGAAGAGATGTTTACGGATCTGAGATGGCATCGGAGGCAGTTCTTACATTTAAAATAGAGAGAAGATTGCTTGGATTTCTCACACGTGTGCGATTCTGCTACTAGTAGCTGATTCTAGTAAGACCAGGCGCTGCTACTGACTAATGGAACGGAACTGTTCATTCTAATGCAAAGCACAACTGAAGTCTATAGCCTCTAGCAGCAGCCAGCCATCTGATCAATAGTGCAAATGACAGCCAGGGTTCTTCTTCCCATGCTTAGCCTTGGAAAGCAAATGGCTCCTCCTACAATTATTAGCACTTCAGGCTCCATTGTGTGCACTTTGCCTCACTCAGGAAGTTTTCCTGCTGAGCTGTACAGGTTTTCCTTTCGAGTCATGTTTGTTCCTGCAAGCAAATAAGTCCAAATGTAAGCCTCCTTAATTTGGTCCACATTTGGAAATTTGGGGGGGGGGGGTTCTGTGTAGTGCTTTGAAACAGTAATATTCTTTAAATAAAAATAGTTGGTTTTAAATTCAAAGAGAGTACTCATTTTGTTTCCCTGTTTCATGTGGCTATTTTTTTTTTCCAAAAAAAATAATGTCGCTGAAGGCTTTTTGAGGTAATGGAACTATACAAAGTCCAGAGCTGCCAAGTAAGAGCCTTAAATAATTAACTGATGAGTATAGTAATTGAGTTCTACAGAAAAGAGGTTTGGTTTAAAGACACTCAGGAGCAATGTTAAGAATTAAAAATGTATGAATAGCTTTGCTGTCCTTCAAATCTGACATATGGGATCGGGATTTCCTTTGCCACAGAATGTTTGTCAGTACTGTATGAATCCGAACCTTTTCCTCCTGACACAATTGTCTTAGATGTGTGTTGAGACTACACAGCTTTGCCTGGTCAGCTGCTGTGTACATGAAGCATTTCTAAAATCACTGCTTAGAAACTGGATTCACCCTTGGGTTGAGTAGCCAACATTTGTCTTTCTGGACCTTGCTGCCACATTTCACAATGTAGTGTTGGTACCCAAATGTATAATGACCACCAGCCCCTTCTCAGCATACACAGCTAGACTGCTTCATGTTATGTGCAGTTTTTCTTCTGGACAGACAAGTTGATTGCCATGTCTTCAATGCAACCATGAAAGCACATGCCACTGTCTTTGAAATCAGTTGTGTCCAAGCCTTTGTAGACAAGAACTTCCAAACATTATAGACTTCCCCTTATGAGGGCTCATACCTCAATACACTTGCTCACCTTTAAGGAACTCCTCTGGTGTCCTTGCTACAATTGTCTAGAATGAAGGCCATCGTGGAATTACCGTATTTTTCGCTCTATAAGACGCACCAGATCATAAGACGCACCTAGTTTTTGGAGGAGGAAAACTGGAAAAAAGAATTCTGAATCTCAGAAGCCAGAACAACAAGAGGGATCGCTGCGCAGTGGAAGCAGCAATCCCTCTTGCTGTTCTGGCTCTTGGGATAGCTGTGCAGCCTGCATTCGCTCCATAAGACGCACACACATTTCCCCTTACTTTTTAGGAGGGAAAAAGTGAGCCTTATAGAGCAAAAAATACGGTAATCTCAACTGTGCCTGTTTCTGAAGAGTGACTTTCCCATTATGAGAACCTATATGAATCCATCTTGAGGTACCTCCAAGATGTGGCATTCACCTGATCGTTGGTCATATTGTAGCTTGTGCCTTTCCTCGCATGGGTCGATTTTGAACTGTGTGGGCAGAAATGGCTCACCTGATGCTGTACTCCATCAGGCCAGCTACTTTAGTCTTCAGGTTGTGCACTTGTCCCCACAGAGACTGCACTAGACACACAACCACAGCATCTGTCCAGCAGCCGTTGGATATGCTAAGTCAAATTTTGTGCAGCTCAGCTCTTCCTTCACACTCCTGTTAGACTTTTTCTGCACTTCCTGTTTCTTTTTAACTTTAAAGAGTTTTTGATTAAGCCAGGGATTGGGAACCTGTTGCCTTCCAGATGTTGTTGGACCCCCCAACTCCATCATCTCTAGCCATTGGCAGTGCTGGCTAGAGCTTGTTGGAATTGGAATCCAACAGCATCTGGAAGGCCCCAAGTTTCCTATCCCTGAATTAGCCACTATATAGTATATGCCAAGTATTAAGAACTGCTTCTGATTACCTGTCTGATTACTTAGCTGGGAAAGAGCTTGGATTTGGGAGTTTTAATTTTCAGAATTTGTTGCCTTTCTTGCAAATAAAACAGTAGTTTGACATAATCCCACAGGTTATGGTAAGCTACCTGAGCATTGTTCATCTGACTCTTGTACCTTTGTGCAATAGAATGCAATTTTCATACAGATCGATAGAACGGAATATTTAACCTTAAACAAAAATGTCCTGTGGCTTCCAGGTATGTTTGCAGGACATATCAACTGATATACCTCCGAGGAGTGAAATCTTGAGTGGCACCAGTGCATGAGCTTGTGGTGTTGCATCTCCATCAGTTTTGTTGCCTTCTGTTCATAGATAAATTGTTATTGAATAGGAAGCGCCTGCTTGTAAATTCCCAATTATTCAACCGGTGTTGTAACATATATCCTCAAGCAGATGGTAACAAGACTGAAGGAGAGCCAAGTGCTGCAAACATTTATTCAAGTGTGCCTTCAAATGATTGATGCAATTGCACATAGAAAACAAATGTTAAAATTTAAAATTGCACGTATGCTCACTCTGTTTCTTCACCAGAACATATTAAAATTAAAAGTATAAGTTTAGTGCAATTCAGGTACCTTTCCATTTTTATGTTATTTATCAAAACATCTATAACTGGAGCAAAAGGAGCGCAGTTTTTGCAAACCAAATTGTAATGCCTTGTATCTCTTAACAGATTTTGGGTAGCACATTCTCAAATGGAGATATTTTCTTTCAGTGGTGCAGATAAAGCCCTTTTTCTTTTTCTTGAACAGAACCCAGCCCAGTTTTTGACATCAGCCTTGAAAACCGCAGTAATTCAACAGTAACTTTAAAGTGGAGCAATCGCGATCCAAATGCATCTAACTACACTTATCGGATACTAATAGAAGGAACTGATCCTCCCAAGAAAGAAACTTCTAACACCACCAATGCAGTAATTAGGGGCCTGGAACCTGGAACATTGTATACATTCACGATATTCCCACAAGCCGATAATGGTAAAATTGAAGGAGAACCAAATCATACAACTGTTTATACCAGTAAGTAAACATTTGAAATGTCATGCACATTCACATTTTACTTATGCATTTGCAGTCTTATGTGGGTGGGTGGGGAAAAATAAATGGAGAGCAGGTTTGCTATCCCCCAATGGTGAAAATAGTTTTTTAAGTCCTCCACCTCTCTTACCTGGCTCTGGGAAGGTTGCAGGAGGGCTCTGGGAGCACCCCAGGACCCTTGTGTGACTTTCACAGAGCCCACTGGGGGTTCCTGGCTTTGCCTGATTTTTGGTTTTTTGGCGCTTGGACCCCCAGAAACAAACCGTCGCATAAGTGGCTAGTCCACTGCACCTTGCTTCCTTGTGCAGCTAATGTGCATTAAGGCTATGCCTTTCCAAGTATCAAAGATGCTTTAGAAAGTAGGTGGGAAATTGACTGCAGTTATTAAAAATGTTTTCTGAATTTATACCAGGGTACGCACTGAAGGGACACAGGTGGCTCTGTGGTCTAAACCACAGAGCCTAGGGCTTGCCGATCGGAAGGTTGGCAGTTCAAATCCCCGTGACAGGGTGAGCTCCCGTTGCTCGGTCCCTGCTCCTGTCAACCTAGCAGTTTGAAAGCACGTCAAAGTGCAAGTAGATAAATAGGTACCACTCAGGCGGGAAGGTAAATGGCGTTTCCGTGTGCTGCTCTGGTTCACCAGAAGCGGCTTAGTCATGCTGGCCACATCATCTGGAAGAACTGTCTGCGGATAAACATCAGCTCCCTCGGCCCGTAAAGCGAGATGAGCGCCGCAACCCCAGAGTCATTTGCGACTGGACTTAACTGTCAGGGGTACTTTACCTTTTTTTTAAAATGCACTGAATAAGTTTGATTATTTTTTTTAATTGATTCTGCAGCAAGTTTGTTCTTCGCAAGTAAAGGTGGAAACAGATATGACAAGTAGCTGATGCCTCCTAAGTGAATGTTTAATCTTGACGAAATATTAGCTGTAGGAATTTATGCAATACTAAATCTGATAACACTTCCTTAAACAGGGCCCAATCCAGTTTTTGGCATCCAGGTTGAAAACCTCAGTGACACAGGACTAACTTTAAAGTGGAACAACCCAAATGATTCCAATTACACTTATAGGATACTAATAGAAGGAACTGATCCTCCCAGGAATAAATCTTCTGACACCAACAGTGCAGTAATTGGGGGCCTGGAACCTGGAACATTGTATACATTCAGAATATACTCACAAGTCGATACTGGTACAGTTGAAGGAGAACCAGATACTACAACTGTTTATACAAGTAAGAAAGATCTACAATCTAAGAAAGATTTCTAACTGCCATGGGTTCCAACCCTGCATCTTCAATATGGAGTCAAACAGAGCTATAGCCAGAAGGCCTGTAATGTGCTGGGGAACTAGTTTTCTGCACACTTAGTTGCAGCTGTTTAATACGATATTGCTTGTCATTTTAATGGAATGGATGCCAAATTGCAATTGTGGGACGTTCTTTTATTCTTATTCTGAAATTTATGCTCAGTTGTAGAATTGACAGGGGTTGAGAATGGAGGAATAATTCTGATTCCAATTTATTGGGTGGGGGAGAGAGAGCCCTTTTGCCAAGTTCATAAGCAATATGCAGTAGTGACATAGAATGGAAGTGTCTGTGAGGGGTTTTTGGGGGGAGGTGGGAAGGAGTAAAATAAAATTTGATACAGTGGTACCTCGCAAGACGAAATTAATTCATTCCGTGAATTTTTTCATCTAGCGAATTTTTCGTCTTGCGAAGCACGAAATCCCATAGGAATGCATTGAAAATCAATTAATGCGTTCCTATGGTCAAAAAAAGTCCAAACAAAGCCAAATTTGGTACAACAAGAGTTTATTAAGTGCTCTTTAAAGTCACACATACTGTAAAGAGCATTTCAAAATTCAAACCCAGAATTTTTTTAAAAAACAGCAGAGTTGCCCAATGGTCACAGAAAATCATAAAAATGCAGAAAAAAAACCACAAGCTTCCAGATTCTTGCAAACCCCTCCCCAACTGTTCTCCCAGCCACCCACCACACAGAAATTCAAACTCAGAAATTTTTTTTGAAAAAAAACAACATGGCCCAATGGTCACAGAAAATCATAAAAATGCAGAAAAAAACACACAAGCTTCCAGATTCTTGCAAACCCCTCCCCAACACCAAGTCCTTGAATTCCAAACACCCCAACCCAAAATCCAAAAAAGTTTTAAAAGCTTAACTTACCAAATGGCTGCAAAAGAAGTTTTGGAAAAGCTTCAAAAATCACCAAAGTCTTTAAAAACCTCAAAAAAGGCTACTATGTACACTGCGTTCTATGAGTTGCTCCTCGAAGTCAAGTCGCAACTGTATTAACGGTGTTAAGAAAAAGGAAACAAACTTGCAAGACGTTTTCGTCTTACGAAACAAGCCCATAGGGAAATTCGTCTTGTGAAGCAGCTCAAAAAACGGAAAACCCTTTCGTCTAGTGAGTTTTCCGTCTTGCGAGGCATTCGTCTTGCGGGGCACCACTGTATTGTGAGAGAGCTAACTGGGAGAAGATAATGCAAGGCCTATAGGTAGCACTGACTCTGCCAAAGAACTTCCCCCAATTTTCATATTTAAGTATGCCGTCTTGCAACTTGATGCAGAAGGTAACATAGAAATGTTTTAAATTAGTACATTCCGGAGCCCCGTTCGCATCCTGAAGCGAACGCAACACGCGTCTGCACGTGTTGTGATTCGCCACTTCCGTGCATGCGTGTGACGTCATTTTGAGCGTCTGTGCATGCGTGAGCGGTGAAACCCGGAGGTAACACGCTCCGTTACTTCCGGGTTGCCGCAGAGCGCAACCCAAAAATGCTTAACCCGAAGCTACTTCAACCCGAGGTATGACTGTACATGCAAGTGGACTTCTTTAGTTTTTGTGGGTTTGAAAGCAAAACTTAGGCATCTGCCCTCCCGTTTTTATTTTTTTGTGGTGAAAATATTGAAATACCCACAAAAAGGTCGGCTAGTTAAATTATAGTAAACCTATATCAGGGTCAAAAATTTCTAGCAGTAACATCTAGCTGTGTAATTAAAAAAAATCCCTTCATCAGTACGGCTAAAACCCTTTTCCTTTTTTAACAGAGCCCAGCCCAGTTTTTGATATCAGTCTTGAAAACCGCAGTAGTTCAACAATAACTTTGAAGTGGAAAAATAGCAATCCAAATGCTTCCAACTACACTTATCGGATACTAATAGAAGGAACTGATCCTCCCAGGAATGAAACTTCTGACACCACCAGTGCAGAAATTGGGGACTTGAAACCTGGAACATTGTACACATTCACAATATTTCCACAAGTCAATAATGGTGCAGTTGAAGGAGAACCAAATGCTACAAGTGTTTATACAAGTAAGTCCAAGTTCATACAAGTAAGTAAACATTTCAGACTGCCTGTTTTGTACCATAAAGAGGTAAAGAGGAACGCCAGCCGAAACATAGCCTTTCCCTATCATTTTGCTAGACTAAATATATTTTTCCTTGGTCAGTCCCCTTCCTGGCCAAAGCCCCATCCAGAGACATGCCCCAGTTTATAATTGAGGATTCATCCTTTCCCACAGGAGGGAAGGGCCCAATGTCTACCCAATCACAAAAGGAACTGCTGCCCAAATGCAGAAGCAAAGACAATGCAAGAACTGAAAAGGGGACGGGACAGGAAGATGTCAAAGGCCATTAGCTCACACCGACAACTGGACTGGTGTATCAACCAGAACTCTCCATAACGAAGTGGACTGATTCATGGAGCATAAGGCTACTAACAAAGATGGCTATGCTCTCTGCCTCCATAGTTGGACGCAGTAATACTTCTGAATACCAGTTTCTGGAAGAGAGTGCTCTTGCGCTGAGGTCCTACTTTTGGGGTTCCCCACGGGCATCTGATTGGCCACCATGAGAACAGGATGCTGGACTAGATGGGTCACTGGCCCGATCCAGCAGCCCCTGTGTATGTTGTTGTGATGGTATGGGAAGAGGGACCCTCTTTCCTGTGCTTCAGTGTCCAATTGCCTGTGCCTGCCCCAAGTCAAAGGAGGCACCCAGTGACAAAACGTGAAGACCCAAGAGTTCACTTTTCCCTGCTGCATCACCTAACTCAAAAGTGTTGCCTGTCTGGCTCAGTCTGGGTGGAAATGCTCAGGAAATGGACTTTCGTAAGGTTCTGTGGAACCTCTCACAATATTATGAACCATCACAATATTACCAACTGTACTTGATGGGCCTAGAGGTCCCCGCCTCTAATCACCACCACAGTAGCCTACACCTGACAAGCTGCAATGCAGAGGGAAGGGCCCCTTTTTTGTTATTCAATATGTGCTTGCAGCAGTTGCTAGAAGATCGATTGCAAGTATTAAGAACGTGATTATCATGTTATTTTAATATTTTAAACTGAATTTTAGAATCATAGAGTTGATTGTAGTACAGTTCTCTATTTAGCAAGTAAAACAGAGGTGGTGATATAGCAAAAGTCTGTATAAATGAACGTCTAAAAATTTTGTACCTTAAAAGTAAAACTGTCCTTCTGTATTTGTTTTTTATAATGTAAATGTTAATATTCCAACAAAACATTAGCTTACTACATTATAGTTAAACTCTATACCTGTTCAAGAGATCTCTTTCACATCTAACAGTGTCATAATATTTCCCTTCGCTTGCATAGCTAAAATCCTTTTCCTCTTTTTTAAACAGAGCCCAACCCAGTTTTTGATATCAGTCTTGAAAACCGCAGTAGTTCAACAATAACTTTGAAGTGGAAAAATAGCGACCCAAATGCTTCCAACTACACTTATCGGATACTAATAGAAGGAACTGATCCTCCCAGGAATGAAACTTCTGACACCACCAGTGCAGAAATTGGGAACTTGAAACCTGGAACATTGTATACATTCACAATATTTCCACAAGTCAATAATGGTGCAGTTGAAGGAGAACCAAATTCTACAAGTGTTTATACAAGTACGTCCAAGTTCATACAACTTAGTAAACATTTCAGACTGCCTGTTGCTTAACCATAAAGATGCATTCTGTACATTCAAAATATTTACTCAAGCAGGAGATGACAAGATTGAGGTAGACAAGTAGATAATGGTAAAACTGAAGGAGACTCAAATAATATAACTGTAGATACAAGTATGTTTTAAGATTTCTCTTAAGGGTCATTCTATATATTCATGATACGTACTCGAGCGGAGTAAGTATTATATGATTGCCCTTGTAGTTTCCTGGCTATTGGTGGTTATGCTAATACATCTGCATAGTTACACACGCTAAAGATACTGGTTGTTGTCATTGTGGTTAAAATAAAAAATAAAAAATTGCATGCCTTAAGTCTCCAGTTTATACTAGGAAAGCAGAATTACTATTTTTAAGTTGATTCTGAAGTACGTTCCTCTGACAAGTGATGATCTACTAAAGAATGTGTGACCTCTACATTAGCTGCCTCTGCCTATCCTTCAGTTTTTGTTTTATACCGTACTCTAACAAAATGGTAACCAATCATATTGTAGTAACCTTTTACATTTCTCAAGGAACTTCTGATATCACTATTTTAATATTGTGATGCAACTTTATGTTATTGGCACAGCTGGATCTCTTTTCTTCTTTTTGAACAGAACCAAGTCCGGTTTTTGACATCAGCCTTGAAAACCGCAGTAATTCAACAGTAACTTTGAAGTGGAGCAATAGCGATCCAAATGCTTCCAACTACACTTATCGGATACTAATAGAAGGAACTGATCCTCCCAGGAGTGAAACTTCTGACACCACCAGTGCAGAAATTAGGGACTTGGAACCTGGAACATTGTATACATTCACAATATTCCCTCGAGTTGATAATGGTGCAGTTGAAGGAGAACCAAATGCTTCAAGTGTTTATACCAGTAAGTAAATTACAACAGGTGGAGATTCCCAGTCTCTGCATTTCTGTACCATAAAGGTATATTCACAAAATGTGCTTGATCAGAAGCTGTCAAAATGGTGGTAGACATGCACGTGTCTACACAATTAAACTCAGTTTTCATGTTAAATACCATTTATTTTCCACAGTTAGATACTGTTTACAGGTGCGGTGTTCTTCTTGTTTTTTTGTGAGAAGCTAGCCTGCTTTCCCATTTCAATGATTTACTCCCTCCCCACCCCAAAAAATTCCTGCAGATGCCCAGGTCTTCCTGAGGTTGCTGGACTCCCAACTCCCATGACCCCCAGCTATTGGGGTGGGGGGGGGATGATGGGTATTGGAGTGCATCATTCTCTGGAGAGCACCTCTTTGGCTAGCCTTTGCCTTAGAGGCCTATTACAAATAAAAGGGAAGTGGTCCTCCCAGGAATGATGCTTCTGATGTCCCCAGTGCAGCAATTAGTAGCTTGGAACCTGGAACATGGTGCAAATTCAAATATATCCAATAGCAGCTGATTTTAAAAAGCAACAACCGAAGACCAAGCTCATATATCTGTTTATATAAGTAAGCAAATTAAAATGGGCCGATTTCCAAAATGATATTCATTGCTAGACCATTTAGGTACTTTACGTACATTCACATTTTGTCTTTGAGCAGAACAAGCTTGAGGTTGGCCCAATTTAAGAAGAATCTGTGCAAAGGTGTTCTTGGACACTTAAGGCATTTCCACCCCACCCCCCTGGAAAAACGTATATATTCTGGGTGAGGTTGTACAGGAGGCACAATGGATCTTCCCCTTCCCCTTCTCCCTGATGCCCCCTGATGCCTCCGATCTGCTGCAAAGATTCCCCCAAACCTCCAGAAGTGATTGAGAGTGTATAGGAAGCTTTAGGAGGGAGGAGAGGGTGGCCTGTTGCGCAAGCAGGACAGCACAGCTGGATTTCAGGCAGCGTACTTACCCTTATTTGTCCCTCCCATGGTTCAGATCTCACTTTCCTTTTGCGTTTCCCCCATAATAGAGCCCAGTCCTGTCTCTGGCTTCGATGTTGTTGATATTGGCACAGTGAACGTAACCTTAAGATGGGAAGACAACGATGCTGCTTCTTCAGGGTACACTTACATAGTATTGTATCAACAAAACCAAGTGGAAATGAATGCGACATCACGAAAAAAGAACATTACCATTCTAGGACTTTTACCAGGCACCCTCTATCGCTTTAGTGTATTTCCACAAGCAGCAGACAACCTCACCAAAGGGGACCCACAAACCACACACAGGTACACAGGTAAGCAATGAAAAGTGTTCCTTAAAGTGCTAACAATAAGTATTAAAAATACGTTTCCATGAGAGAGTTGAATAATTTAGTGTGTGCGCGCGTGTGCCTTATAATAACAAAGGAAAATATTTTGGAGGTTATGATGCCAATTTGGAACACAGTTCAGCTTATATATATATTTAAAAGCCTTTTTCCCCCTTAACAGCTCCTAGCTCAGTCACCAACATCAGAGTTACAGATGTCAGTATAACAACAGTCAACTTAACATGGGAAAATCTTGATGCAGCTTCTTCAGCGTACACCTACAGGATACAGATTGGTGGTGAAGCTATTGAGGACAAGATATTCCCAACTACGAGTGCTGAAATTTCAGAGCTAACTCCTGGGACCGATTATACATTCAGCATTTATTCAGTAGCAGGGTATAATCAAACTGAAGGGAGACCAGGCAGCATAAATAACTGTACAGGTAAGTCTGTTAAATGGCAGAAGGGCAGAATCTTCTCCTTTATCTGCTTAAGCAGATAAGGTGATGTCTGCAGAAAAGGGACAGGGGCTGAAGCAAACAAAAGTAGAGCAGACTTCATGTCTTTTTTGAGGAAAAGTGTTTTATTAGGCTACCATATTTTAAATCTTACTTATTTTGCTTCTCTGTGCCCTGGGTATGTGTACAAGGCAAATGAACAAAGGAAAAATTATCCTCACCTTCATGTCTATAGCACTTGGTGACATCCAGCCAGACTATGGAGTGAAGAATGCCTGAAGAAAATACGTCCACCTGTATGTGCAAACTAAGAATAACCATTCTTAGATTCCAACCCTAACCCTGCTTACTTAGCAGCAAGACCCGTTGAATTCAACAAGACTTGCGTCTGAAAAGACATAGTTAGGACTGCGCTGTTAGATGCAGTGTTTGAAACAATTAATCTTCTTTTTAGTTCCTGGTGATAAATAAAGGATTTGATGTAGAGGTGCAAACAGAAAAACCTCTTTGGTGTGCAAAAAGGCCTTTTCTAATTGAGTGTTTTATCTCTTGCATAAGATACAAGAACTGCAATCCTTGTGCTTCCGTTTGCGCGAGGTGTGTGCAGTCTCTTGCCGTGTGGTCTTGCACAGAGGCCCCACACAATGCCTTCTGTTCGCCCTTATGCAGCAGTTAATTGCAAGACCAGCCCCCTTTTTTTGTCTAACACATTTTCTCCTGGCCAGATGAATGTTATATATTAGGCATGTCCAGCAGGTCAATTGTGATCTACCAGTCGATTGTGGGGTGTCCCTGGTCAATCGCCCCTCCTCCCCAAAACAAAAGCTCAACAACTTTGGTCACTCATAGATCACTGGCACTATTTTTATAGTGGGAGTAGATTGCAGTCTCTTGGGAGTTGGACATGCCTGTTATACATGATCCAAATTTGATATGCCATTTCTCCTTGTGCCCTCCTTGTTGTGGTGTGTCTTGTCTCCTATTATGAACAAACTGAAATGCATACAGTGGAACCTTGGTTCTCAAACAGCTCAGTTGACAAACAAATCGGCTTCCAAACGCCGAAAACCCGAAAGTAAGTGTTCCGGTTTTCTAACGTTTTTTGGAAGCTGAACGTCCGATGCAGCTTCCGCTTGGGTGCAGGAAGCTCCTGCAGCCAGTCGCAAGCCACGCCTTGGTTTCAAACATTTCGGAAGTTGAAAGGAACGGATTCCGTTTGAGAACAATGGGACCACTGTATTGTAAAGAGACAAAGTAGGGAACAAACCTCGCAGGAGGAATTAAGAGATTTGGTTCTGTTCTGCCCACTTTTTCTTTCAAGTGTTATGTGTGTTTATTAAATACCCTGTGTGACTAGCCTGCCTTCTTTGTTGTAGATGCTGCAAGAGTGGAGGTGTTGAACTGCATGCAAGTTGCCAAGCAGCCAAAATTGATTCTAAACTGGTCTAATCCAAAGGGGAGGTTTGCTGGCTTTGGAGTTGACGTCTTAAATAGTACTTGGGGCAGCACAAATATATTGGAAAACCATACCACAGTAACAGATTTGAACTACTATACCAACTACACTGTTAGAATTGTCACACATTCGTGTGGGAAAGATAGCCATCCTCAGGAAAAAATATGTTCCACAAGTATTGGCGGTAAGCATATAGTTGCTTTGTTTAGGGTTGTTGGCAAGGAATGCATAATGGTTTCTGAACTAGATAGCTATTGGCATTACATAAAATAATTATATCACATCGCAAATTTTAGGCCCAGTGAAAAGGTGTGTGTTTGTCAACAGAGATATACGTGGGTGTGTGGTTGCTAAAAAAATTAGAAATAGTTTTATGACCACTTATTTGAGAAAAAGAGTCTTTCCATTTTTTTGCTGAAGGAAAACCTCACAGCTGGAGAGTTCATATCTTATTATTCTTTACCCTTTTGTCCCTTGTTTTTATGCAATTGTGTCTGTTGGGGGGGGATACCAAAGCTAAAACAAAAATAAAACAGAATACCATTAGTGTACACAGCATAGAACCTTGTAGTACTTTCAATATGAACAAATTTATTATGGCACAAGCTTCTCTGGACCACTTCAATAGAATATATTAGACTGTAGGTATTGCGTGAAAACAATGTTTGCTGCTTGATCCTTTGTTGTTTGCCATGTATGTAAACCACTGCAAGGAACATCCATCTGGTGGCTTCATGCATGATGCAGTTGCAATGTGTAGTGGCATTTGGAGCTTCTGAATGAAGTGGGTGACTCCAGGTGATAACTTGCACTTTTAAGAGTTGTAGAGTACAGAAGCCACCATACAAAAATCATTTCAGCAAATCTCAGCATAGCTAATGTGCTATACAGATAATCAAAAACTAGGCTATTCATTGCAAACAGGCCATTGTGTTCCTTTGTAGTGCTGCAGAAAGAGATTTGATATACAAAAATTGTTTCCCCCGCATTCCGTCCATGTTTGTTTTGTTTTTATATGCTTTATACTAGTGGTTTACAGGCTTACGTTGTATTTTTGATTTTATGTTTTCTGTTTACTGCTTTTATGTTGTACACTGCTTTGAGACTTTTAAAATATTAAACAGTTTATAAATGTTTTCAGTTAATAAATATTTGCTTTCCAGACCCTCCATCTCCACTTATAGCCCCTACCATTGTGGGAACCACTCACAACTCCTTGACAGTTCAGTTCAGTAGCTTTAATGCAAGCCATGGACCTTTAGTAGCATATGCAGTAATCGTCACATCAAAAGGTAAAACAAAAACAAAATGCATGCCCAGTACAGCCATTTTATCATTTATTTTAAAAAATCTTTCTTTATGTAAGAAGCTCTGTTCCATACTTTCTCTTTTGTTTAAAATAAAGTAGTAGAAGTAAAATTCTGAGACTGCATTTAGGGTTGATACCTGCACTGTTGCAATGATCAGATCTGATTGTTTCTGGCAATGGTGAAGGAAATGTCAACATTTTTTGGGTGCAATCAAGATTGTATTGATTCCTCAGCAAAACCAACTTTTGTATCCCACTTTGTTTCATGTTTATATTGCTATAGAGCACCTGTCAGCATGGTATTGATCAAAGCTATTATATCAACCAAGATAGGAACTTGAACACAATGTGTTTTGACTATACACGATTTTGGCTTTAGGCTCAATCCCCAGAATGTAACCCCCATGTAACTTATGGGTTTACTTCTTTGTTTAACTTAATATTTTGATTTTGGACAATATTGAAGTAGCTGTTGAATATTTTACTGCTATTTAAGTCTATGAGTATCTAAAAATCTATCATTTTATATTTTCTTGATAATTACGGTACATGATAATGTATTCTCATTTTTCCCCGCATACAGATGTAGTCTCTGCAGAGGCCTTGAAATATACCTATGATGATTTCATGAATCGGGGAGCAGATGCTTACGTTGCATATGTCAAAGATGAGCAAATGCGTTCCTCTTCCTCCTCCAACAGTGAGCAGCATACTATTGAAATAGGAGACGGATCCGTAACACATGGTTATGTCAGTGGGAAGTTAATCCCACTTAATTCATACAGGTATTTTAATTCTATTTCTAACTCCATTTCCCTGAGTCGTGTTGATGACTAAAACATAATAAATGAGTAACACACACTTTTTCTTTTAAAATCAAACTCTGATTTCAAATCCCGTTTTTTTCTTTCCTCTGCCTTGCATTAGGGTATATGTTGCTGGTTTTACTCGAATTGACTATTTGAATGACACCATCGACGAAAAGGAGAGTTATGTCTCGTTTTCAAACATTTCAAATGCTGTTGTCTTACCTCAAGATCCAGGTACATTTATTTCATCATCATCAAACCTTTTATTGGCATCACATACAAACATCCAAAACAAATCAATACACAATTACCACTTCCCCAGTGGCAAAAAACATTTGCTAAAAGAAAGGAGGCAGAGCAGTCTATCGTCACATCTCTAGGTCTCCAGGGAGATCAGACGTCTGCAGTGTATTTCGACGACAAAAAAGCAAACAGAGATATTTAGCCACTAACTTGGTGAGCTCCTGATCATTCCCCAGTAATAGAAAATGTATGATCTCCAACTCTGGTTTCCATTTGGGGAGACAGAGTTGATCTAGAAATTGCTGACGGAGATCAGCATATAGTTTACAATTAAGAACCATGTGTGTAAGGGTTTCCACCAGGTGGTCTTCACATGGGCAAGTTCTTTCTCCTTCCACCCTGCCTGAGAACCTTCCCCAAAGGAGAACCCAGTTCTGTTCCCCTCCTTGCCAAAGCGTAGCCTTACACCTTTGTGTTTCAGAGTACCTTTGTGAGCAGGGTATATAAAACCAACCCTGTGAGGTAATACGTTGCCACCACTCCTTAAGTCCAAACAACCTGGAATTCCCAGACATTACTGGGCAGCCCTAAAATTCTAGGGAAGCAAAAACTAAAGGCCAGACCCTCTCAGGTTAAACACTTACTCAGTAGCAAGTGACCAAGAGATTGGGAACTAGACTCAGTACCCAAGAAGACAGACATCAATCTTATATGGTAGGTTTATTAAAATTAGTAGTAGCAGAACTCCAAGGTCTGTAAAATAAAATAAAATTTAGAAATGCAAACCCCACAGTATATGTGGCTATTGGGTTTTCTTTGCTCTTCAGACTTTCATCCACTTTGTGGCTTGTAGTTGAGTCAGATGTGCCCTGGAGCAGGCTCCAGTTCAAGTATGCTTGGCAACTGTAGAATGCAAATGTACTATTGGGATTGCAGTGGAGCGCTGGGAGGAAAAAGGGGGAGAGAATGGAGTGTCGCAGAATACTGAACAGAAAAATCCCACAGTGCACCATTTTTTCTTGTGAATCCCACTTAAACATGGAATCCTGCATGTATCTAACAGCCTGACCTCCCTTACCATCTGATGTCTTGTGTGAACTACACAAGGGATTGGGCATAAGGTCCTAGTACTAGCTATTGGGTTTTCTTTGCTCTTCAGACTTTCATCCACTTTGTGGCTTGTAGTTGAGTCAGATGTGCCCTGGAGCAGGCTCCAGTTCACCTTATGGGAATTTTCCAGTTGCCAGCTCATGGTCAGTAGGGGCAAAGCCTTAACCATAAGTCCTGGTTCAGAGGACACAGTAAGAAGAACCTTGGAATAATAGATATGTAGAGTTGGAAGGGACCGTGAGGGACTTCTAGTCCAACCCCCTGCAATGCAGGAATCTTTTGCCCAGCATGGGGCTTGAACCCACGACCCTGAGGTTAAGAGTCTCATGCTTTTACAGGCTGAGCTATCTGCCTTGGCTGAGCTCAGTGCAGCACCGCAGTTAAAAGGACTGAGGAAGGAGCAAAGCAGCTGCAAGCTCCTCTCTGGGAGCCCACACAGCTGGCTTACTATGTCAAGTGAACCAGGTCTGATGCGTGTAACAGGGGTCAGACCTAAACTCTGATTTGTTGAGGCACCACTGAATTGCACTGAACGACCCTTTGCTTCCTGAGAGTTCAGCTAGCAATGTCTGCTCATTTTAGCTTGTTTGGATAATGGGAGATTCAAATAGCTCACTGAATCGTTACCCTGCCCAATAATTTTACCCAATAAAATCTCAGTGCTGAATAGAAACTGTGAGCTTCTGCCTTGCTAGGGCAACAAAAGCTAGTGATTGCTGAGAGTACACTTGAAGGGCCCTTGTTAAAACCTTGTGGTTGTTGGTTTTTCGCCTTGCCGTTATGACTTGTAAAGGAGTTAAAATCGTTTGTTTCTTTCCCAGATGTCATCACAGGAGCTGTTGTTGGATGCATTCTGGCTGCTGCTGTTATTGCTGCAGGGATTGGTTTTTTCATCTTCTGGAAAAAGAGAAGGTATATTAGCTACTGCATAATTCTTTACAAGGATGTAGTTGTGCATAACACTTCATGATGCAGGTCTCTGCTGCTTCTCTTTCACGTATTTGGAATGCTTGGGATCTGTTTCTACCATGCATGCATTCATATATTTTTTTAAATTTCTTTTTATTAGTTTCAATTCACTATACAACACCAAACACTAATAAAACAAAAAAGACAAAACGAAAGAACAAAAAATAAAAGAAAAACATTACATAACAAAAAACACCAACAAATTAAACGTACAATAACTAAATAACACGACAATAGTTGACTTCCCTTCAACTTGGTTTTGGACTATGTTACAAAAGGTTTTCTTTCTACCATGCATTCAAACCATCTTCAGGCTGTCTGTCTTAGGAAGGTCAGGGGGCCTTAATTATTTTTTATCAGGGTGTAATAACTCGGCAGGTAAGAAATAGGTACTCCTTAATGAACCAGCTAAGTCCAAATACAGAAAGTCCTGCCAAACTATGACTTGATAGGTCAGCAAAGGTTGGTCTTTAAAAATAATTAAAGTTGCTTTACTTCTTTTCTTAGTCTTTATTCTCTGAGTTCCCCATGGCCACAGCTGACTATTCCAGGGATACCCACTTGATACAGTGCTCTTGAAGGGAGTTGACATGACATTTTATCAGAAGTCATGCCCTGCTGATACTATTTTTTTTCTCTTGGGAAGGCTCTGTGGGTGGATTTTGTTCACTCTCAGTACCTGATTGCCATAAAGTTGGTCTAGAAGAAATTCCTCCCTGATGAGATTGGGCTTGTGACCCTGGGTAGTAGTTTCTTTTTGGTCTTCATGTGCAGCTTGGATGGTTTACTTCCTCAAAGGCTCTGGATCTGTTGCTCTGCACACTGTTCTTCATAGAATGCTGTGTAATCTGCAATCAGCGGCGGAGGAAGCAGCTCGGGTGCCTGGGGCGGTGCACCCAGGGGCGGGGTGAGCCGCCCATAGGGGTGGAGCACACCGTGGGGCCTCCGGAGTCTGCCTGCCTCCTCCCACTCAGCCGCCCTACAGCTGGGGAGGAGGCAGCAGGTGGCACTCTTGGGCAATGTGGAGCCTATGGGCGCCCAAGCTACTGCATCTCTCCCAGGAGAGACATATGGCTCGGGCACGCTGCAGGCCCCGCGGTGAGTGCCGCCTGGCATTTTGTCACCCCCTTCAGTGGTCACACCCGGGGCGGCCCACACCCACCACACCCCCTTACTCCCCCCCTGTCTGCAGTGTGTGAGTTCATCTTTGGGGAAAGCTGTGCCTTGTGGCAAATGGGTTGGGTCACATGGACCCCAGTACTTTCCAATCCTGTATTTGTTGCTTAATGGAAGGCATAGTTTGTGGCCTGATGTTGGCATTTTAGCCAAACCAGTAGTTGCGGAAAGCTTTGTATTTTTTATTTCAGTTTTTCCAAGAGTGAAAAATGCAACTAACCCTTTTTCAAAATCTACAATTCTACAGGAAAGGTGGAAAAAACAACCAGGTGCCATTTACCCAATTAGAGTGAGTTGACTATTACTATCTTCTCTTTAGAATATACTGAGGATCAATCAGAATTGGCTTTGTTTTAAAGTGGTGGTGGAGATAATACTTAGAGTGCTTTAAAAGTATTTTGGATCATTGAGGTCCTAATAACCTATGTTATAAAACTCTATGTTATGATTAATTGGTGTAATAATGTGTCAGAATGCCTGTGTAAAGATACTAAATAACATGCAAAGGTCTCTGCTACAACGCTACCTTTCTTCCTTGGTGGTTAGGTGTGGGTTAGGTATTTCACCAGTATTAAATTCAACCTAGTTTCTATGGCTCTAAGATAGATTGTGCATTGTGTGTGCGCAGGGGAGTAGGGTTATACCTGTCCAGGTAGGGGCACAGCTGGGCCACCAGCCCAAGCTGATGGAAGGCACTCCAAAGCCATCCGAGCCTCAAGCAACAGCAAAGGATCCAGGAGTACCCCCAAGCTATGTGTAGTAACTACTGGGTTGCTTTTTCTTATCCTTCCGGATGAAGCAATTTATGTGAGGAGTCAGGAGAAATAGATGCAACTAAATAATTGGAAATGGCAGGAGCATAGCTTAGACTATAAAGAAGATCAATTTTTAAAGCTATGTTTTTGCTCCAAAATTTAATTGGGCATTCTTGTATCACAGCAGGGAATTTGTAGTTTATGTAATACTAGATTCCAAGTATTATGTATAAAATTGTTCTGCTCAGTTAATAAAGGCTGTAACTAATGTGTGCAATTTTTCTCTCTTCCTTTCCGTCTTCCTCTGCAGACCGAGAAAGTAAGCAAATAATTTCCTATACTCTAGATGAATAATAGAAATAGTGCTTGAATTCATGCCTCTCATTTGATTATGTTTTATTTCTGTTCAGCTTCTCAGAGAATGCTTAGTCCTTTATTTCCTAAGCAAACGTGTTATGTTGTGTATTATACACACTCAGCACTTCAGTTGTCAAAATATGGATTTGGAATTTCTCAGTTTCTGTTGTCCCTAATTCTCACCTTGTTGGACTCCAGCATGCCCTTGGTGTAGGAGCCAGATTGCTGCCTGTGAAAATTCATAGCACAAATAAGTCGAGAGCAGCCAGCGGGGAAAGGTGGCAGCTTGTACCTTGGCCTCCTGGTGGCAGCATCACTGCCACTTACCAGGGAAAAGAGGGTAGAGGCAGCTGCAAGGTTTACAGTTGTGCTGAACTGACTCTGCTGAGGTACCTGCACAATGCTGACCTCCCCACTGCCACACCTTCCTCCCTCCCTCTATTTCTTAGTAGGTGGCAGCAACGCTGATGTCAGGAGGCCAGGCGTACACCCAGCCACCCCTCCACACCAGCTATTCCTGAAATAAAACCTCTAGTCCCTACTGGGCTATGACCCTTTTCTATGTCAAGAGTCTGTGCTAGGCCCAAAACAATAGATGGCATATCTCAGGTACTGTCCCTATGAAAGGGAACTAAATGTGCCTGGATGGCTCTGGGGACATTTCAGCACTGCTGCCACCGTCTTCAGGAGACCATGTGTGCACCACCACCTCTCCCTGGCAGCTGCTCCGGAAACTGAGCTTTTAGCAAAATAAGTGTGTCCTAGATAATGTCGACTACTACAAGGTGGTTGTTTTTTTGTTTCTTTCAGATCAAAGTTATTTAAAGTGGAAGACTTTGAGTCTCATTTTAAGAAACAGAAAGCTGACTCAAACTGTGGATTTGCAGAAGAGTATGAGGTATGCATCTGAAATGTTCTTAGCTTTTTCTCTGTCATCATAATGTTTACATTCTTCCACATAAGAGCTCAGCTACCCCGGGCCCTTAGGGTGAAGGGGAGGTAATAAATAATGACGACAACACATGCTTCCTCCTGCACAGCTGAAAGATTAAGACAGTCCCGTCTTCACTGAACAGTTGAAAAAGGAAGGTGCAAATAGGACTTGAGTCCCTGCAAAATCTGAAATTCATGTTTTGAGGTGGATTTCATTATTTAAAGAGCCAAAATTCAACTGTGAAAAAGCCATATGCAATGGGAAACAATAAGGAAACCTAACAATTAGGAATTACCTTCCCCCAAAGTTCACTGTTGGATGTCATATGGCCAAGTGTTGAAGAACCATTTGCATGCCATGAGGTAAAATAATCCTAAATTCCTTCTCTATTTGCTGCAGGAGCTCAGGCCTGTTGGTACAAATCAGCCCAGATTTGCAGCTGAACTACAAGAGAACAAAGCGAAAAATAGATATAACAATGTCTTGCCATGTAAGTTCCTCAACCCTACTGCTACTAAAAACTGACCTGGCACCATCACTGTGCTAGAATCCCTTCTCCCCCTCTACCCCATCAGCAAAGATAAGTGGGCTAGGATCAGACTCTAACGCTGCTTTTAATCCTAATTACTACACCACCTATATTCTTTCATCTGGTTCATAGTCTTTTCTTTATTTAGTGGCTTAATTCATTTTATGTGGTGTGTGCTGTGGAAAAAGGAAAATATATTGACACATAATAATAATAATAATAATAATAATAATAATAAAATAATTTTTGCAGATGATATTTCTCGTGTCAGACTTCAGATCCATGACCATCCAACCAATGATTACATTAATGCAAACTATATGCCGGTAAGTGTTCCCAGCCTATTTAAAAAAACCCATAGTGTTTTAATGACAGATTTATAAATAAGAAAAGTGGTATTCAGACCATACTTTGATTGCAGGGTTACAACTCCAAGAAAGAGTTCATCGCTGCACAAGGCCCTTTGCCCAATACGGTGCAAGACTTCTGGCGCATGATCTGGGAGAAGAAAATTTATACCGTTGTTATGCTGACTAAATGTATTGAACAAGGCAGGGTAAGTTTTCGTTAAAGTTCCGAAACATGCTACAAAATGTTGCCGTGCATCACAACCGCCATAAATTTTGCAGCTCAACGATTCTAAAAAATTTAATTCAATGCTAAAAAAACACCCTACCATTTTAAAACCACAACCTGGGAAATTGGAAGCTAAGATTGATGCCTTAACAGATGTACCCCGTGATCAGTAATAAAGTTGTTGAATCCAGATGCGGAGGATAAAGATGCCCCACATTGCCCTGGTTTAGTATTGCTCTAAGTTTTTTGTGTAAGGTAAAGGTAAAGGGACCCCTGACCATTAGGTCCAGTCGTGGCCGACTCTGGGGTTGCGGCGCTCATCTCGCTTTATTGGCTGAGGGAGCCGGCGTACAGCTCCTGGGTCATGTGGCCAGCATGACTAAGCTGCTTCTGGCGAACCAGAGCAGCGCACGGAAACACTGTTTACCTTCCCGCCAGAGCGGATCAGTGGAAGGATTCAGCACCCTCTTCCAGCACAGCTCTTATTTTACTCCTGATTTGTTTGGAGTTTTTAATATTCTGTTGGGAGCTGCCCAGAGTGGCCGGGGAAACCTAGCCAGATGGGTGGGGTATTAATAATGATAATAATACCTGTCCCAAACCACTTTCCAACAGAAAAGACTTGTGAGTTAAGAACTGTGTTTAATACTCTTATGCAAGTCCCTACAAGAACCTTTCAGATGGGAAAAGGGCACTGGCCTGCAAATGCATTGACATCTAAATAATTACGTAACTCAACAGGAGAGGAGAACAATGGGGGGGACATCTTTACTGGTCCCAGGTACTCTATCCCACCCCATCCCACCCCACCCCCATCTGGTCCTAAAGCCAGTGTCCCCACCCCTTACTTTTCTTACATTCCTTTTACTTTCATGGACCTATCATATAAGTTGACTTATAATTTATATTTCTAGACAAAATGTGAGGAATATTGGCCAAATAAACAATCCAAAAGCTATGGAGACATAACAGTAGCCATGACTTCAGAAATTCCCCTTCCAGAGTGGACAATAAGAGATTTCTCCATGGAAAAGGTGAGTTGTTTGCGCGCTCTCTCTCTCACTCTCTCTCTCTGTGTCTGTGTTTTGCTTATACTCTGGATTGATGACGTATCACTTAGGCTGCAATCCTATGGGGTCCTAGCAGCCATAGGGTACATCACATTTCCTTGTCAGAGACTCCAGAGAGAGGGGGTTCTGAGAAGGAGTTCTGCTGTCTTATCTGATCTCCTTGTCACTACAGAAACCTTTGGGCACTGATATGACTGGGGCACGGGTATGTCTGGTTTTAGACATTTCTGTTTGCCTTACTATTCTGATAATTATTCTGATTTTGGAAAAACAACAACTAGATATGGGCAGAGAGATTTTTCACAGGAGAAACAAGGGCTCTGGATTAGACATGTGACCTACCTTTTCAATGTGATTTGTTGCCTGCTGTTAAACTTATTTATTTTAGGTTAATTTATACCTCGTTTCTGATTTGGAACAGGCAACAAAATGAGCTCACAATAAAAGCGTTTCTAATTCTGAATTTTAGAGATGGGCAGAATCCACTCCACTCAAGTTTGAAACTTTTCATAGAATCATAGAATTGTAAAGTAGGAATTTGAATGAATTAAGCAAGAAGATGTCTGCTGAGACCCTGAAATTAAACACTGGGTAATTGGGAAACATCATAATTGGGAAAATTGATAATTTTCAGATTGAAGAGGCTCCTAAATCTCCTCATTCATCACTAGGAGCAAAGTAGAGCCTCAGAGTCTCTATATTTGACACACCTTTCCCATGTGAATAAGTTCTCTGAAACCATGCTGTTCCCCCATAGTCATCCAGGGAGGTGTGTGTGGCAGGCGCAGTCTACCAAGAGGACCAAATAGGCCTAGAGGTCTTGTTGCTCCCCTAGCAATATTTCATAGCCCTCAACCTCCAAATTTCCCTTCCCCAAAAAATGCATTGCGTGTGAACTACCCCAAAATGCATTGCGTGTGAACTACTCCATCACTAGTGAAAACAGTCAAGCTAGATACAGTGGTACCTCGGGTTAAGAACTTAATTCATTCTGGAGGTCCGTTCTTAACCTGAAACTATTCTTAACCTGAAGCACCACTTTCGCTAATGGGGCCTCCTGCTGCCGCTGCGCTACCGGAGCACAATTTCTGTTCTCATCCTGAAGCAAAGTTCTTAACCTGAGGTACTATTTCTGGGTTAGTGGAGTCTGTAACCTGAAGCGTCTGTAACCCGAGGTAGCACTGTATAAAAATTTCACTTCCCTGATTTATCCAAGCTATTTGAAACCATCAAAAATACACTCAGCTTGCAGCAATTCCAGAAGGTGTACTGAACCCAGGTCTTAGGTCAAGCACTCAGAGGATAGAAATATGAGTTAGCTCAATGAAATGTATTTGGCACTTGGTGTGAGTCTCATACACTTTTAAACATTTGTTTCTTCCTCCCCTGACACTGTTCGCCCTGAGCAACTTGTCACTGTCCCTTCTTCCACAGCTGTCCTTGGGGCCCAACCCTTCCACTTAGCTTTAACCTGCCTGCTTTTTTTTTCCCATTCCGCCAAGCCATTCTCATAGCTCACGTTTTCCTGTGCCAGGCGCTACAGAATTGCCAGGAAGCGGCTTACAGGCTTAATTTTTTTATTATTATAAAATACTTCGTGACACCATTCTTCCGAACCCTAATGACTACTCCTGTTCCTCGATTTTCATTTCTAAGAGTGATTCATCTGAAAGTCACCCCGTGCGACAGTTCCACTTCACAGCCTGGCCAGATCACGGTGTCCCGGAAACAACCAACCTCCTCATTAACTTCAGGCACTTAGTACAGGAATACATGAAGCAGAACCCTCCAAGTTCTCCTACCTTAGTGCACTGCAGGTACAAATATTACTTTCTGGAAGGGGAGGGGAGACTCCCAAGTCTAAGTGGTATCCTATATACAGTTATGTTTATGTGGAAGTACGGGAGCTGGGGTGGGAATCTTTCAGTGCCACTGCTTATAAAGGGATGTGAACTCACAGGGCCTTAACACATGCAAAGTTGGGTATTCTTGTTTCTATTGCCATTCTAGTTTTCCATACAGTCACTGATTTTCAGGTGAACAATGGTAAAGGTAAAGGACCCCTGGACGGTTAAGTCCAGCCAAAAGCGACTATGGAGTTGCGGCACTCATCTCGCTTTCAGGCCGAGGGAGCCAGTGTTTGTCCACAGACAGCTTTCCGGGTCATGTGGCCAGCATGACTAAACCGCTTCTGGTGCAACAGAACACCATGACAGAAACTAGACCGCACAGAAACACTGTTTACTTTTCCGCCACAGCGGTACCTATTTATCTACTTGCACTGGCGTGCTTTCAAATTGCTAGGTTGACAGGTGCTGGGACAGAGCAATGGGGCATCACGGGGATTCGAACCACTGACCTTCTGATCGACAAGCCCAAGAGACTCAGTGGTTTAGACCACAGCACCACCCGTGTCCCATAGGTGAACAATGATACAGCACCTGATTCTTCCAGGCCATTTCCTGGGCACAATCTTAGCACTAGCAAGATGAATTTACCTCACTCACGGCATATTTAGAGTTACTTAATGTAGAGGTGTCCAACTAAATGGAGTGAGGGCAGGGACCAGACCATTATTTTGCTTTCTGCCCAGTTGTAAGAAAAGAAAGAGGCAAGGCCTCCTTTTTTAATAGATGCACACTGTAGACCTGTGGTCCTCCAGATGTTGCAGAACTACAGCTCTCCTTTCCCCTGGCTGTTGGCCTTGCTGGCTGGGTCTCTTGGGAGTAGGAGCCCAACAACATCTGGAAAGACATAGGTTTCCCCATCCCTGCCTTAGACAAACAGACAACTTTTGCTATGGGCTCCATCTCCTGGGACCGTGGTGCCAATAGGCCCTAGGTCCACTTGACAGGTTATTTCTCTCTACCTGTGCATCACTTCTGTGGAGGAAAAGGCATCCACTGAGAGTATTAAGAGCAGCAGAATAGATTGTGCGTGTCTTTTTTTCTTTCTTTCACAGAAGGAAGATAATTATGCTGTGTTAAGTGATCCTTAAACCGAGATATAAACAAGGATTTAGGGCTTAACTGAAGGCAAGCACAAAGCCATTAAATACATATGCAATTGTTTTTTCTTACAGTGCTGGTGTCGGAAGGACGGGGACATTCATTGCAATTGACCATTTGATCCATCAAATGGAGATGGAGAACACTGTTGATGTGTACGGTGCTGTATATGAGCTTCGAATGCATCGGTCTTTAATGGTGCAAACAGAGGTATGGGCAGGATGCTATTCTAAGCATGTAAATCAATGACCTACACATGGCATAGCAAGTAATGTTGTCACCAGCTTTCAGCATTGTTCCAGTTGATTTAATATTTCTTTTGATAACCTGGAGATGCAACTGCAGACACCAGACCTAAATTTCTGAACAATTAACTCTGCACCGTTATTTCAGTTTCTGTTCCTATTGCTCACCTTGAGGGCCACTGTTGTTGATTTCTTTTAAATGCTGGAAAAAAAGAAATGCCTTTCTTGCAGTCACTTTCTATATGGGCAGGAAGAGGCAGATGTTTTAAAACTGCGAGATTTTTCCCCTTTTCTTTCATATAATGAAATGGCAGTGGAGAAGCCCAAGATGTATGGATGCATTGCAGTTGTTGACTGCAGTAATGGGCATAATCTCTCTTAAAAATGATTCATCATATGAAATCTATGCTACATATTCATTATTAATGTTATTGTTATTATCTCTCTCCTTTAGGACCAGTATGTCTTCCTAAACCAGTGTGTTTTGGACATTATCAAATCCCAGAAAGATAAGAAAACAGACCTTATCTATCAAAACACAAATGCCATGGCAATCTATGAGAACTTCACACCCTTGCCACACATTGGGAAGGCAAATGGCTACCATGCATAACTGCAAGGGAATGACAAGCTTCCCACTTCTGCCTTTTACATAAGTGAGGAAATATGCACTGTTTTTGTATGTCTTTCTATACAGAGACTTTTTTCACTTTTTAAAAAAGAATAACTGAAGATGTACACATTTTTAAAAATGGCAATGGGAACTGTAGTTTCTACAATAGTGTTAAAGGGAAAATACACTGTATTTTACAGATGAATTTGAAGAAGGTGAAGAAGCATCACATGATTGGTGTATTATCACTGAATAAATGACGGGATCCCTTTTTGAACTTCAGAAATAATAAATGATGCAGATACTTAAAATCAGGTTTGAGGGTCACTGTTCCAGAGATGTTTATATGTACATTGGCTTTTCGCCAACAGAGACCTACGTTATCAGTGACTGCTCAAGTTCTTTTTGTTTTATTTAAAACGGGAACACAAAAATCAGCAAATAGGATATTTTATTATGTACTTGTGCCTTTTTCTAGCTGTTTTGCTATAGACAAAATGATCAGAGTCCTATATTTTTGTATTGAAATTCTTGGTTGAAATATAACATTTAAATAATATCAATATCAATTCTCATTTGGAATAGCTTTGTTGATTCTTCCTTCATGGAGGTGGCAACCCTTTCTTTGTATTTTACTGCAGTCTGCAGAGATTTTTCCCTAGAGGTAATTCACTTGATCGTGTGAGGACTGGAGCAGTTGTGTGACACCTTGGCTGTATAAAACTGTATTAAACTGTGGAATGGAGCCTTCTTATATGGTTTAGCTGAAACTTGTTTAGCTTTGTATTCATGCGTCGAGATTACTACTTCCCACTTCTAAAATCTGTTAATACCAGTTGTAAGCATATTCATGCACTTTCAGTGCTCTTCAGAACCCATTTGTGCCTTTGTCTGTGCCTGAAACTTCCTTTTCCTTCACCTCACTGTCCATAGTCCCATTTTCACTCACTGCCAATGAATCTGGTGAGCTGAAGATGTCATTGTCTGATGTCACGATTCTACTTCTGACATGCCTGTAAACATGTGACTCCCTAAACCAATCTAAACTTGAGTGAGAAGAAAGGTGGCTGAGGTCAGTGAGGGCAAAGTGAAGGAAAATGGGGAAGGAATGAAGTGGCAACTGCCAGTGGAACAAAAGGACATCAAGCACGTAAAAAAAGAAATAGCAAATCTTCAATATGAGTATTCCCCCCATTAGTTTTGTGGAATATGCTAATTTCAAAGCAAATATTGAACATAGAAGATGTTTTGCCTAGCTTTCAATCATGTAAATACAAGCCCATCAATGTATTGTGGAAGCAGGATTGTTAAAGTACACACTGGCTACATAAACACTTGACAGGGCGGACTGAGCTGCGTGGAGAGGCAGTTGTGTGTCGGCTCCACTAAATCCAGCATTACCACACAGGCCCTCAGGTTTCACAACAGTTTCAGGAGAGTAGTGGTGCTGCCTTCAACGTGTGTAGATAGGAGGGAGGCAGCTGCTTCTCTGTGTAGTTACAACCCATCTCACTGGGAACTCATTGAGTGCCCACTGTCTAGTTAGCAGTTAATCCAAATGTTGCGGTTATCACTTGATAGCTTATCTCCTCAGTTGGTCTTGAGGGATGGCCTTTAGTGGTGTCATTCACGGAAGAGGAGGGCTATGTCTCAATCTGAGCTTTAACTTGTTTTCGTTGTGTGTTGGTGTTGGTGTTGTGTCTTTGTCGGTGGGAAGGGGGGGGGAAATGAAGGACCCACCCTATCCAGGTTGAAATTTTTATGTTCTCTTATGTGATAAGGATTTATTTAAAAGTGCAATATTTGATTTACTGAATGAACGCTTGCCTCTATTTCCATAGAGTTTTACTCAGGTTCAGTATCTCTTCTTAGTTGTTCTGTGGTTTAATGTTCTTAAATGTGTCGTTTGTGGAAGACTGAAGAACTCCTATGGCAGAGTGATCCCAGGAAGGTCCATTGACTTTGCTCTGTTTCTCTAAAAAGTAAATGTTCTAAAGATCTACTGATTCTTTCAGCTGCAGAATATGTTTTAGCCAGTTAAAACTGAGGTATATATTTTTAATGTTGTTGTATCAAAGATATATAATTGCTCTACCTTTTGGTTTATTTGTTTGTTTGTATTATGCTGCTGTAGTTGTAACGGATACGATTAATGAAAATTGAAGGGTTCTCCATTAAATTAATTGTGTTGGTACACTGATGGTGAAATTATGAAGGTATTCTTAATGAAGGACTTGTGGCGTGGGAAGTGGGAGGGGTTGTGGTTCATTATTCTTCTAGTCAATGCGCTGGCAGCATTAGGAACTGGTATTATCTCTTGAGTGTGTTATAGAGCTATCTGTAAAGTATTGGAGCGTTCTGGGCTCCACTCCTCAACTTTCTTTGGTGCAAAACCCCTTTGAATTGCATTGAGCTTGTGCAGAGCAGGCAATATGCTTGAGGGGATTAGGGTGCTGAAGGGTATAGGGTAAGCCGCACTCCATGGCTCTGGAATATTTAAAATTCTGCCAGTGGGGCAAAATCTTTTGGAAACCAATAGCTCAAAAATGGGGAAATGGTTGCTAATACAGTTCTTCTCCTACCAAAGTCTATGATTTGTGGCTTTTTATATCTATGCCTTAGATAGAATGACATTTGGATGTTGGTGGTTGGACCAAATATATGCATATTTTTAAAAGGTTGAAAAAGGGGCCCCACTAAAATATAGATTAATCTGTTTCATATGTGCCACATTCCAATGCAGGGGTCTTCTACATAGTGGAAGTGAAATCCTGCTTGATTTTGGGGGAGAGCCAATAAACCCTTGTTGTTGTCTCTGTAGATCATTATCCAGGAAGAGGTTTTGCACAAGATTTGTCTAATGTAATAAGCAACGATCCTAATCATGCCATAATTGATGCTAGCAGTCTTTGTGCATCTTGACATAAATACAGTTAGCATGCAAATAATTGCACTTGTGAACGCTCCTTACAAAATGGGGTCTCAGACCAAAACTGGCCTATTGGGTTTTTTTCTTTTTTCTTTTTACAAAGTGCCTGTCTACCATAAATGACTGCTGTGTCTGAAAAGTTACCAGAATGTATGTCTTGTTTCCTGTTAAAATAAATGACATCCTTTCAAGGCAATGCAAATATTCTTAAGAATGAAGAGGGGAATCTGGACTTGCCCTTTCCTGTGGACAGAATGGACTGAGATCCAGTGCAGACTCCCACTGAAGGAAGTGAGGAGTGTTTTTCTACAAATATCTTTCCCTGTGCTTTTCAGTGACACCTTCCACACCGACCTGAAATGTCTCCCAATCCTGCAGTGTAGTTGGGGATGGGGACACAGAGGAGCTATAGTAGGATGAGAACATTCAAAAGTCATCTTTCCCTTTCTTCAGCAGAATATCCTACAGGTAGAGTTCTGCTAATCAGGATCCAGCCCTACATGCCTAAAATTTGTGCTGGTTGAAAACATTAGATCAATTAAAAGTTGCAGGATCATAGGCCCAGGGTTCAAAGGTAATTAAATTTCACTTAGGCTCCACTCATTATGGGGGTGTAGGACTTGGGTAAAGAAAATAGGGGGAAGCATAGGAGCTGCATGCTATTTGCCTTGTTCAAAGGTGGTGTTACCCTCCAGATATGGCTGAATTACAGCTCCTAATCAGCCCCTGCGAGGGATCATAAGCTGCAGTTCAGCAATGTCTGGAAGGCAACAGGTTTCCTCACCCCTGGCTTAGATTCTTTCTCTTCCTTTCAGTTAATCCCTTGCAGCTCATTCACCCTACCTCATGAAGATGTTGATGGATGCTACTAAAATAATGTAACTCCTGATAGGCATCTTCATCAGGGTACAACTGTGCCCAGTGATAAGTTTATAGCAGGCATAGGCAAACGCAGCCCTCCAGATGTTTTGGGACTACAGCTCCCATCATCCCTGACCACTAGGGATCTGTTAGCTAGGGATGATGGGAGTTGTAGTCCCAAAACATCTCGAGGACCGAGTTTGCCTATGCCTGCTTCATAGGGTTTGGCCAGAGGCAGTCTAGCCTTCATTACTAGCTGCAATCAATGGGGCTGTCAGGGCAGGACTTTGGAGCTCAGGACTCAGCAGAACGAGCAGGGAGGCCCCCAAAAGTAGCAGCGTTGGATTGCCTCATTTTCAGCATATTACTATCTGAAGAGGACTATTAAGTCCAGAGCCTAAAATTGCCTAACTATAACTGAGTGCACATCATTTTCATAAGCCATCTGTGTGTGAGAGAGAGAGAGAGGGAGGGGGTGCTGTTTTAGTTCATGCTGTAAAAACTTAGCCCTAAACATTTGCACTTGATTACCTGCCTGTAACGGGAACATAACACAATGGTCTGTGCATGTATTATGCTAGCCCATCCTAAGCATTTGTTTTGCCGACAGGTCTGAGCTTCCTCTTAGTCAGAGTGTAGAAGCTCATCTGGGGCAGCAGCAAAGGGCAGCTAACTTGTCAATTATTTGGCTTATTCTTTTTACCACTGTTGGGTTGTTATTTTTTTCCAGGTGGGGGTTCAGACACCAAAATGCCTTGGTCTGTCTCCTTTGCTGACTGCAGAGACAGTCCAGCAGGGTACATATCGAAACTGGCTTGAATCGGAATAGTTTCTCACTGGTCTGCTTGTTATATAATTTCCTTTTGATCTATGCTTTGAAGTTATAAAAACACCTCAGAGTGCAAAATTATGTTGCTTGGAGTGTTCAAATCATCCTTTTTTTAGCCTTAAAACTTGGGAGTAATAACCTATGGATCAGGATTCAAAGGAAGGAGAGAACAGTTCATGCAGGCAAGAAGTTTGCTTGTTTGCTGTTTTCACCACTGCCAAAGAGAGAAGTTGTCATTAAGTTTAAAAAGCAACTAGTCTCTTGGACAATGGAACCTGCTGTAATGCCCACATCAAGCAAAATCCCCCATGCATCCCCCTTCTTTGGATGCTTGCCAGTCTCCTTGTTTTTTATTCTATTTTTAATTTCCAGGCAAGGCATGATTTTGAAAAGAGAGTATTCTTTGTGCATCAGCTGTTGCTGTTATGATTGTGTGTTCAAATGATGCACAATGTTCAGTGTTTCATTCATTGTACAGATGTTTGCTGCATACTGTCCTTAATTTTAATTGTCTGATTGTCTTTTCAATGACATAAAAATAACTAAATAAAACATTGACGCAATATGTTTCAGTGTATGTTCTTCCTCTGTGGTCCATGGTAATTTAATCAACTCCCCTTCCATTTATCTCATTCCAGGGCAGCTTCAAGTACTTAAATCTCAATCCTTAAACAATCTTTAAAAAAATCTGTGCCCTCAGTTGGGGGAGAGAGAGAAAGAGAGAGAGAGAGAAAGCATAAAAACACCCACATGTTATTCTATGGAGTGATGCATGTTCTTGCAAACTTCTTTATGAAGAAGATGGAAGGCCCATCTGTTTTTACAAATCAAGCAGCTATGTGGTTTATCTGTATGTATTTTGGTTGCTGAATAGATGTCTTTAGTTGTTTCATTTGCTGCTGCTTATTTGCACCCTGTCACAGGGCATAGGAAGTGGTGGATCTTCAGATGGTTTTAGACTACAACTCTCATCATTCCTGACCATTGGCCACCTTGGCTGGTTGCTGATGGGAGTTGGAGGCCAGCATCATCTGGAGGGCCACAGGTTCCCCCACCTTTGCTTTAGCCCCACTAGAACTGCATGGTCCATTTGAAACCAAGTTCAAATGTCCAATATGCATAGCTAAATCAAAGGAGTCAGAATGCCACCAGGCATGATATTACTGAAAAGTACCAGCTGTAGATATTCAAAGAGAAGTAGTTATAGCACTAGTTTTCCCTGATGGTTCAGTGATCAGGTCACCTGCTCAGTGCTAACGTTGTATTCCTAGTTGGGTCTTCTTCATCCCAAGGGACTCCTGTCCCACTTCTGCAGCAGTCTACTCTGCTGCCATCCCCTCCCCCCATCTGCTGTCTAGTTACACAGCACTGAAGTGGTCTGTGTATAATTAGAATAGTTAGGTGCTCTTCTGGGCCCAGATCTTCATAACCCTAACCCATGCTAACACAAGTAAAGCCAGGCCAGCTTCAACCAGCAGAAATCTGGTTAGCTCCCACTGTAATACGTGGATGTAGGATCATCAGCATTGCTACAGCCAACAGACACCTGTGCTGTCAGCTCACCTGTCTGCCTACAGCTTCCTCTTCTTCCTCTTCCCCCATCTCCTGTACTGAAATGTTATTAGGTACTGTTGGCCACAGTTAATGGATTGTTCCAACAGCCAAAGATGGACTTGATCCACATCTTATTTATGTGTTGTTTTACTCGGTTTCTGTAAACTATAATCATCATGACCCAGTAAAACAACAGACTGGCAGACTAACCATTGGGTCTTCAGCAAGTAACCATCTTTGCAAGTGTGGAGACTTGTCAGCTACTGAGGGAGCTTCCTTTTCCACCTTGGGGCTGCCCCCTCCTTTTCTCTGGAAGTTCAAAGATAGTCTGTCCATGCTGTCTGGTATCTTCTGTGGAGGCAAGGAGAAGAAACTGATAAAGGTGTATTCCTGTCACGGGTGGAACTGATTAGAGTTTCCTCTCCCTTTATCCACCTCACCAGATGCAGACAAGGTGAAAGGAATTCTTATCTTTAGGAAGCCGACTAATATTTCCTGTGTTTACCACCTTGCTGCCTCACCTGTGCATACAAGCACACGCACATATACAGAAGAGAGGATAAGCAGTGCATGGATCCATTCCTGAATCTGCATATGGAAGAAATGAGTACAAGGCTAGATATGCACCTCAGATGGCATGCATCTGTTCACAGGTGACACGAAAACCACAGGAAAGTTGAAGTGCCGTTCTAAAAAACATGCTTCTGCAATATCATTGACACATTTAAAAAATTGTACACAGGCACATTTAAAATTTCCTTTCTGCCTTTCACATCATCAGCAGGAGAGAAGCTCAGAAGCATTCAAGTGGCATGTGTAACATCCATCCTAAGTAGCCATTTCAGTGTGCAAATGATAAAGCCTAGATTCCAGCAGTCAAGCGATGAGCTAACAGCTCTGAATCTCATTGCCCAGTAGGAGTGCAGGGCTTGTAATTGAGAATAAAGATGAGAAAGGTATCACAGCTTCATTCAAAATGGGGAAGAGATGCCACAGATTGCAACAGCATTTCCGTTTTGTAATCAACACCTCTGTGACTTGAGCCTGTCTTGGAGAATCACACTGTTTGCCTTCAAAGGCTTTACCCTTAGTTCCAAATGGATGAGCCTGGTTGCTGGTAGTTAACTAGAGCCATGGGGAATATAAGGAAGTATATGAATGCCTGTCTAGCAGCAGTGTGAGATTACGTTTTGCATGTAGCTGCCACTGGGAGGAATTCAACATACCGCTAGACAGATTGCACAAGCATCTTTGCTTGCCTGGTGGAATGATCGCCCCTCTCCTTCCCCCAGTGCACTCTTCTAGGAGTTCTGACCCCCAGAGCCAACTTAGGGGGTATGGGAGGCACAGGAGGAAAAGAGGGAGGAAAGCCCTATTGCACTACTGGAAATTCTTCTGTGGGCTTCTGCTGGCAGGACTAATGAGTTGAATCCAGTCCAATATAGCTATTTCGTGGATGTGAGGGCGATCTGGCTGCGACATCTGTCACCCCATTGATCGCCAGGGTTGATTCGGCTGATCTGGCTGGCTAGGCAGGTGTCCCCTTCCTCCCTCACCGCTCCATGTGCGTCCCTCCCGAAGCTGCGCGCTCGGTGGAAGAGGACGACCATCCCAGATAGAAGGAGTGTACCGTTCTTCGGTCAAGGGTATACGATAGCTGCGCTCCCCTGCTAGAACCTCCAAACAATATAGCTATTTCGTCATGCAATCTGATAATGTACCCCCATAACCCTTTGCTAGGGCCAGCCCACCCATAAGACAAAGTGAGGTGATTGCCTTAGGTGGCAGGATCTATGGGGCAGCAGATCCAGCCGCCAATGAATGCATCAACCACTGGAGCTACCGCAGTGTCAGCAACAGCTGTGGCACACTCAGAGGCTGGACCTGCCTCCTCTCAGCAAACAGGAGGCACGGCTCATCTCCTGCCACTTCGAGGAAGGAAATGGCAGGGACTGTGCCTTCTGGGGATCTGCACCCTCCCAGCATGATTCAGAGTGGACTGCTTCCCTGCCCCACCACCACAGCCTTTGATTCTTACTTCAAGGAGTAGGGTTGAACTTAATTGGATTCCTCACCTGTTTCTGATGGAGATCTTCACTCAACTCAACAAGGGCTCAAACTCATGACCCTGAGATCAAAAGTCTCATGCGCGACTGCAGGCACAGGCAAACCCCGGCCCTCCAGATGTTTTGGGACTACAATTCCCATCATCCCTGAGCACTGGTCCTGTTGGCTAGGGGTGATGGGAATTGTAGTCCCAAACATCTGGAGGGCTGGAGTTTGCCTATGCCTGCTTTACTGACTGAGCTATGGTGGGAGGCGGATGCTATTTTGTGGGTCACCCCAGGTGCCAAAATGACTTGGGCCAACCTTGCCCTTTGTCCTTGCTCATTGGGGTTTCTGGGGTGCATTTTGTTTGCCTGAACAGGGAAGACTGTCATGATTATTTATTGTAGTTCTTTATTTCATCAGATTTGTATACCACTTGAATGTAAGAAAGACCCTCAAAGCAGTTTCCACACATCTGTGGCCCCTTTTAGCAACACACGTCAATTTGGGAGGCCCTCCATTTTCAACTCAACGCCAGCATCCCCTGGAGTGAAATCTTTGTTCCTGATCTTCACACTGTTTCATGATGAACCTATACTTCCTGTTTTCACTTTCCACATCCCCAGAAGCTAAGACCTTGCCCTAGGCTGGAAAGTCACATAGAGCTCACATTTCTCCACCCAGGTCTGCTGTGTGCAAGACCACAGGTGGATGGAGCGGAGGTGCAAATTCTCACCTTTGCAGGGTACCCAGGCAGCATGCAATGCTCCCCCTTGCACTTTCTGGTGCTGATTTTCCTTATTGGCTAATGCCTGCGTCCGCAGCCAGAGCAGGAGAGAGGCACGGTCTCCTGTGGAATGGCAGCTTTGGACAATTTTATTGGCTGATGAATCAGTTCTTCTCTGGCAGCTTTCCAGTAATGCTGGATTGCCTGAGATGGGAAGGAAAAGCAGGTTACTCTGCCTAAGGCTGTGAAAGGATTGCTTGGAGACCAACGCGGCACTCATGCCTTGCTGCACAGTGAGTATATTAAGAGAATATCTCTCTGCATGCCATGCTATCTGAGGATGATTTGCCGAAACCCTCAATTAAACATGCAGCTTCAGCCGTCGCTGCTTAACTGCAAAGATGTTCCTGGTTGTCACTGAGATTGGATTGCTATTGCAATTGGATGAGTTTGAACGTGGCATTTGGCTCTTCCTCTGGCAAATTCCTTTGCTGCAAGATCCTTCCTGATCTGAAGGCTTATCTGCAAGATGCCAGTTTTGAAAAATTTTGTAGCCTTTTCCTCCGTCCCTCCCCTGGAACTCCTACATGATAGGGAGGCAGGGAGAGAACCCTGATGCTTAATTTGAATTCATTTGGGGGATAACTTCTTTTGAAGTTGGAGGGGGCTTTTGGCTGGGGGTGCTTTTGCTATCAGTTGTATAGCAAGGATTAGATTTCCAGATGAGCAGAAATAGGGCAGTATAAGAAAGGGAGGAGGAGAGACAGAGCTTTTACTTTTACCAGCCTGGGGAGTGTGCTGTGCTTAAAGGGACAGGATACTGCATTGCACCTAAATTACTTGCAAACAGTTCTCCTTGTGAAGTCTTATGGAAGTGACATCAAAAAGTATTGCTACCTAGGGGATTAATGGGTCACCCCCCCTATATATGCCTCCCCCAAAAGGGAACTCTGGAGAAGCTTGAAGGAATGCAGCTTTTTCAGACTGCAGTAGCTGTCTAACAAAACCTGCAGTTGAACCTGAAGACCTGCCTGCTTCTCAGAAGTGCTGTTGAATATTTTAAGTTTGGAGCAAGCGCTCCTTCCACTGCTAAAACTAACCATGTGAGAAGCTGTGACTTTGGAGTAGTTTTTTTGAAACACTAATATTTTATCTCCTGGTGTGGTAGAGGGGGAGACTTTTCCAAGTGACTATAGTCTTTGGAAATGGGGGAGTATGTATCTGAGAGACAAGCATCCTTCGTTTAGCAATGGACACCTATGTGGCGAATCACTGTGGACTGTTCTGGGTGTTTTTTGCTCACCAGGGCACTCCCGGGCTTCTGAGGTGCACATTACTATTTTGTGTATTCCAGACGCCTGGGAGTTTCTTTGTGTGTTATACTTGTGAAGACACTGGTTGGCTCATTTTGGTTGTCTGTTGCCCAATAGAATGAGTTGGTTTTCTCCCATTCTGTGATTCTTATTGTCTGGAGCTGAGTAGGCTCCAGGTCTCTCTGTCTAGATGTCCCTAAGGAGAGACTCATGGCCTTTGGGCTCTAATCTTAATTCCAGAAAGGGTGGCTAGATCCAAAAGAAGAGAGGTCTCCTGCACCTTTAATAGCACACAACCACAAACACTGCAGATGCCCTGTCCTCTTCGGCAGACAACCACCCTACCCACAGCCTTCTGCTTCTGGCCTTTCCATTGCTCCTCGCCTGCCTCTGTTTTAATCATATGCATTTGGGAATTCTGGGCCATAGTTTATGTCTTTGATTATCTACACCACTGTTGCCTGAGGAATGCCTCTTTCAAAGATACAGTGGTACCTCGGGTTACAGATGCTTCAGGTTACAGACTCTTCAGGTTACAGACTCTGCTAACCCAGAAATAGTACCTCGGGTTAAGAACTTTGCTTCAGGATGAGAATAGAAATTGTGCAGTGGCGGCACAGCGGCAGCAGGAGGTCCCGTTAGCTAAAGTGGTGCTTCAGGTTAGGAACAGTTTCAGGTTAAGAATGAACCTCCGGAATGAATTAAGTTCTTAACCCGAGGTACCACTGTACTGCAAAAATGAGCACTGTACATTTTTGAATAGCAGTGGCAAAAACAGCCATGATACAGGAGCCATCAAGAGTCATCAAATTGTTGATATCCCCATTCCAGTGAAGCTTGGGTATTTTATTTTTTAAAATAAAAGCCTCCATCTCAGTTGCCATGTTCTTTGATACTGCCATTTCATTTATATCATTTATATCATGCTCTCCCTATCCCAAAATACCTCAAAGTGGCTCTACAAACAGTACATTCATCTTGGCTGCTCCATGGAGCACACAGTCTACATATTTCCCCTCACACCTTCATGTGGTGCCACTTCAGTCCTTTCTGAGCCATGTGTAGGTCTGTCCCAACTGAGTTGGGGATGACACCTCTGTGGAAAGTGTCCTGCTCCCAGGCTTCCCAGACAATCTCCTGGGAGGTAGATGCTGTAGGCCCAGCAAGCAGGAGTTTCCAGGCCGCCATAACCAGTGATGGACCTTGGCGCGTTCAAATTTCAGTGGTGCCCTGTGCAATGCCAAAATCCTCCAGGCACCCCCCGCCTCTCGTGTTCCATTGGGTGTCATAGCTGCAGCACCCGCTGCAGTGCCTTGAAGGCTCAGCGCCCAGGATGACCAAACTGGCCGTGATACCCTAAATCCACCTTTTCCATAACCCACTGTATGTGTCACCTTTATCACTAGAAGCTCAATGAGTCTCAGGAGCTGTCCAACGGGTCAGGAGGCATAGTTTCCGCCAGAGAGACAAGCTGTAGCATCAAATTAGTGATGAATGACACACAATCCATGATTACCACTTCCTGCTTGCATCAATCAATGTGTTAAATTTTTGCTTTAGCTCCCCCTGCCCCCAATTCTTGTAGTGGCTATTCTTTCCCAAATTGAAATGCATTGCAAAGCAGGAGCACGCACTGCTAGCCAAATGTTGTTTAATATGGCGACCAATAGTGCAGTGATCTTGCTCCAGGATTAGAACCATTGATTGCACAAGACTGGAGCAAGATTGTGTGCCCATCCCCCCCGATAAGAGCCTGATATTTTTGGCTCCAGTTTTGTGCAATCAATGGTTCTAAGAAGCCGGGCTTTTTTCACCCTGAACTTGCCTGAACTCTCTCAGGTAGGTGCCATTGCTATTCCAAGAGAACAAGGGAGGCATCATCGTGAGTTCCGGCACCTCTTTTTCTAGAAAAATAGCACTGCAAAGAAGAGATGCCCACTCACAGCAAAATGCATTTGTTTATAAAAAATATTTCCAGCCCACCTTTCAGGACCAACATCCTCACATGACCGCCATATAAAATGCAACAAATTAACTATTTGAAAAATCTAGTTTCACCTTATTAAAACAAGCAGTAAAGATGTCAATAAGATGCAGCGGTTGCTAAAAAAACAAAATGCAGGTGGATTTGGAAAAGACCCTGGGGTTGGGAAAGATTGAGGGCACCAGGAGAAGGGGACGACAGAGGACGAGATGGTTGGACAGTGTTCTCAAAGCTACCAACATGAGTTTGACCAAACTGCGGGAGGCAGTTGAAGACAGGAGTGCCTGGCGTGCTCTGGTCCATGGGGTCACGAAGAGTCGGACATGACTAAATGACTAAACAACAACAACAAAATTGAGAGTCAGCTGATCATAGAATGATAGAATTGGTAGGGTTCCTGAGGGTCCTCTAGTCCAACCCTGTGCAGGGCAGGAATCTCAAATCAATATCACAAATATGGGTCCGCCACTGGATCCACTGTGTCCCTGGTGCCTGCTCACCTAACCTTTCTTATCTAGTCTCTCTAATCTTAAAAGATACATCTGGCCCATGCAATAGGCCAGGAGCAAAGGTGTGGGGGTAGGACAGTAGCAAGGTTGGCGCTGTGCAGATGCACTGATAAAGCCAATCTGGCACTCCATCTGCTTCACCTTCACAGCCCTAAAAGTTGCCACTTCCCTGCCCC